TCCTGTGTGGACTCCAGACTCTTCGATCGCCGACACTGTAAAATGGATTATATTACACTCCATTCTGCCGGGATTCTGCCTTTTTCTCTATCTTGCTTTACAGAGCAAGTAAAGCAAAAGAAACAAATGAGGGCTTGTACGACTGTAAAACAAACTATTCTCAGTCCAGATAGGTTTGGCTCTGCGGTGGATGCTCTCTAGGTGGAGCCCTTCCTGATGTCTCTGTAGCCTTTGTGTTTGCTCAAGGATTTATGAGGTTACCATTGGTCTCCAATGACTTAGATTAGATGTCTTAGCCAACATCCAAGACCACAGAGAGATGGAGAGATGAATTGTTTCGTCTTTCCCCATTCCTGTATCGCGTGTAATGACCCATCTGTTTAAAACTGTGGTAAACATTGGACTGCTGTTGCCTATTTATTTAGTGCCAGTGGATTTTTTTTACCGCATTATGTGTGGTCTTATTGTATTGAAGCAGTGATCCCTTTTCACTCATTAATTTTATTATTTGCCTAAAGTTTCTCCTCTGTCTCCTCCGTCAGGGTTCAGCCGTGCGGCCTTGCCTTTCGGGCTGGTCAGGAGGGAGCTCTCATGCGAAGGATATGCAATTGATCTCCGCTGCCCAGGGAGTGATGTCATTATGATCGAGACGGCCAACTACGGCAGGACTGACGACAAGATCTGTGACGCTGACCCATTCCAGATGGAGAACGTCAACTGCTACCTCCCCGATGCCTACAAGATTATATCACAAAGGTAAAACGCTGAGGAGAGGAGGGATCTTATTTCACAAACACAACCAGGAGCTGGGGAGGCGAAGTATGGACTTCTTCCCGCCCCCCGCACCCCCCCTCTGAGCTGCACACAAAAGAAATGTTTTTTATCACCTTGCTCTTGCAGCCACCTACATACTGGACAATTAATCAACACCTCACAGCTTTTATTTATTTTTTTAATTCCTTCATTGACTAGATTATGTAGGTGGCATTTTGAAATTCAGAAAACTGGGGCGCAGATTAATTCTTTGACAGGCAGGAATTGACATCCATGCGGCAGAGCTCTTCACACCAGCTGCGCGTTGTTGCTACTGTTTGAGTCATATAATCAGCGTAGCTCAGAGAGACTGCAAGTCACATGAACACCCTCTTAATTCCCTATCTGGAACATTGGGCTTGCTTTGTTCAAACACTTGTACCGCATTGAAGTGGCTTTGCCTCAGGTAGTGAGCAATGCCCATCATCACGCCTTTTATCCTGGTTACCCTCTCACAGGATGCTGCTCTTTGCTGTCAAACGACAGCACAGCAACACTTCAGCTCGACTGCTGCTTACCCCTAGAGGTGTGTGTATTTTTAAAGGGCACTGGATGAACTATTCATAAATAGTAACCAGCACAGTTCATCTTCTAATGCACTGCTCTGTCCTAACCTAGCCCCCCTTAAGCTAGCTTTTGAGCATCATCGCCCACCATCTTACACCTCTGGGTTGTTCCCCCCTTTGCTTCATTCACTTCTCTATTTACTCCCATGAGAGGCACTGCACAATAGCTCAGGAATAGACCAAGTCCTCCTGCCTTTCTCTGTCTTTCTAAATTTACATCCGAGTCCCAGTACTCTCATACAGTAACACGCCGCTGACAGTGCCCGTGCCCTTTGCTTTGACTGCAACCTGCTACGTTGTGCACCACATCTGTTGACAAGTCAGAGTCTCACTTGCTGGAGCCGTACTTCAAACTTATCTCCATCGAAGATTCCCTGGAGGCGGTGTATGAGCGAAAGCTTTGAGAAGATTCCGCACTGCCAGCCCTTAACCAGAACTATTCTAATGATTCAGATCAGAGGAAATGGGCTCCTGACCGTAATTAAGGTTGATGTGATAACCAGGGATGTTAAAGCAGTCACAAAGCTCCGGGAGACTCTGATCAGTCCTCCTTCAGTCTGCGGCAAAGTAAAACAAGGAGGATATTTAAACTACGTCACATTAAGACACAATGCGCTGCCAATAGAAGATTAACAAAAGGCAATAGCTCCTCAGACAGATAAACAAACATATTAAACGAGATTGGGGAGATAGAAACAGTGGGAAGTCTGCTGCACAGAGCGGCAATTTTGTTGGTTTGGAAATTGTGACAAAAAGTGTTCATCAGCAGCCGGTTTCTCACAACAAAAACAACTAGACAGGAATCAAATGGCTTGATTTTCAACAGCATCTACATCAAAGTTATTTGTCAAGTAAAACGTTTGGTTGTTGACAAAAAAAGTGGCTTGATGAAAAAGGTTTGACAGAACTGACGGAAACTCTGAGCCTGTTTAACATTCAGGTGATCGTTCCCTGAGAGGTGTACTGTAAATGGACGGTGTGCCTGACCCCTCTCTCTCTCTCTCTCTCTCTCTCTCTCTCTCTCTCTCTCTCTCTCTCGCTCTCTGCCGGCCTTGTTGTCTCCACGGGCTGTTCTGCTGACTCGCATTAGCTTATTTCAATGGTTACCTATTCTCCGACCCAGTGAAACTAACAGAATAAATGCTTTACCCGGTCAGAGGTGCAGCTCTTAGATAGAAAGCAAGCAGGATTCAAACACTTTACTGCCATGAGATTGTGCTCAGTGCAATAGAGATTACACGCAGCGATTTCAGCGGCAGTTTAAAACAGAGGAAGCGTGTCAAAATGCTTAGCAACAACACCTCCCTTTTCTCCAGAGCAGAAGCATCTACAATCTGCAGTCAAATAAATGCCAGAGGAATTACAATATAAAAGAAATTAGCAGTCGAGGAGGAAATATTTCGATTTCTTACTGCAATAATTAACATTTATACATTAAAAATGGGTTGAATTACCTTTTGTAATGTGAAAGGCGTCACTTGTAGTAACAAATCCACTGAGAATTATCACCCTACTCTGCAGCTTTAACGTCTTTCAGCTCATTGTTTTGGTTTTCCTGCCCGCAACTTAAATATTTTGGTTAAGTCTCCTGCCCTCATTGAACGACTGGCTGGTTGCTAGCAGCTAAAGAGCCATATATTTTCTTCAGGAGTCGGTGAAGTGCAAATCAGAGTACATGTTGGACTCCACATGAATCTTTATGTTGCTCTGTGTCTTTTGGATGTAAAAATAAGCAATTGTTTGCAAACACATTAGTCATGTCAACTGAGGTGATACTGTGTCTGCGTTGTGTTTACCCCTTTGGGCTTAAATAAATTAAGTAAAATGACTCCATAACTCCATAAGTAGAAAGTCAAGTAATTTTAATATTGGATTATTATCACTGATGCAGCAACATGTAAGCAGCATTGTAATAGTGTAGCTATTGGAAGTGGAGCAAATACTACATTATATAAATTTAAAATGTTATTTAATTTAGATTTATAATAATAATACATTACAATGCATTATATTAAATTAACTAATCATATCTCTTGTATGTTAAATCTTATCTGCTATAGTAAGTTGTCACTTATATGTACTCATCTGTACTTTCATCTGAAATGATAGTATCTCACAGTAAAGTAATTGAGTAAATGTACTTAATGCTATTTGGAATATAGTGTCAGTCAGACTGTAACTGAATTAAATCCAATATATGTGGGTGTACTTGGAGTGCTCTCATCTGCTGTCAGTCAGTTCGCATTTTGATGCAGTGACCCTTCCCCCTTGCAGAAGCTTTCACTGCAGTGACGCCTTAAAAGTGAATCTCATAAGTGCAGCTGGCACCATATTGTCAGTTCTGTTTAAAACATCACTGATGATGCTGATGCTATTTGTTAACTTCGTAATCGACCTCACACCTTTTTATTCATATATAATGTTTGATAATCCATTAGTTTCAAGGGAAGGATTTTGCCATGAAAATGTATAGGTGGATTTAGAGTGTTGCATGAAAAGTCTCTTTCTGGTTAATGTACGTACATTTACCCTTTTATTCATTACTTTAACATCCTGCATAAAGGTGCGCAGTCAATGTTTTGTGTTGTTGTGCAGCGAAATCCCATTTTGCAGTGACTCTTTAATTACTAATGGCTCTTTGAAAGTCACGTCAAATGTTGAAATGTATGTCCAGTCCATGACTGCTACTGACCTTCTGGAATATTTATCTCAGGCTTGCAAATTGTTGAATGTCCTATTTTGGTGCCAATTTTCTCTTGTTTGCCTCTGTTACTGCTGACATTATTCTCAATCCCTCGGCCTCAAGAGAGCTTGATTGAAGTGGAGCCAATTTCACCCTATACAGTATTTACACACACCCCGTCCTCTGCTGTTCTTTTTTCCCCCCTCTCCCTCTTTACTTGAACTTTTTTTAGCACCTAGAAACATCTGCACACACACACACACACACACACACACACACACACACACACACACACACACACACACACCTAACTTTGCATTTCACACATCAGACTGTTAATTCACTGAGGGACACTATTTCATACCGGAAGGCAAATTAGCTCTCATAGAAAGGACACAGTCACGTCGTGTTTGTTGCGTATGCAGAGGAGCCTCTCCGTTTCACCAGAGGCCACCATTCCAGTCCACTGCATGTCACCACCACCTGTCGTGTGTTTTAATGAATGTTATCCCTTTCAATAGCGCTATGAAGACGCTGTGAAAGGAAATGCCACCGCTAATTCCCAACATGCCTTTAGCAGCTCCCTCTCTCTGTTATTCATTATCACATTAATTTACTTTTCCTTAATGCTTTTCCTCTCTCTGTCTGCCAAGGTTTAAACTAGAATGCATATGTGACGGTCCTGGCTGGGATTTCGTCAAATTTCTTTGTAGCTGTAACGATCAACTTTTTCCCCCTCTGTGTTTTTAATGTTATCTGTGCCGAGTACTGTGGGTAGTCATGATGAAATCTCTGGTCAATCTTTTCTTTTTCTAGGTGCAACAACCGTACGCAGTGTGTGGTTGTCACTGGCTCTGATGTCTTTCCTGATCCATGCCCTGGCACCTACAAGTACTTAGAGGTCCAGTATGAGTGTGTTCCCTATAGTAAGTATCGCCATCCAAATCTCACACTGAACTCTTATTGTGTGCTTTTAAAGTGTTTGTAGATTAGACAGATGTGCTGTAGCTACAGTCTCTGTTCAGTTGCAAATATATGTTTGTTTTACAGATGATACTTGCAACTTATAACTGGAAACTGGTATTTGGAAGGAGCATTAATAATTTAAAAGTATAAGTTATACATTTCTCAATTAACCTTTAGTGGAATCCAGCCATTCAGATAGTTTTGGTTTTATTTGTCCAGGTTTTTGAGATATCCGCCTTTAGGGTTGAGTTTTGATAGCTGCTTCCATTTTGGATCTAGTTCAAGTTGGCAAAACACCCAGATTTGTTAAGCTCAGAGGCTAAAGAATCTCTTATTGGACCTTATTGGACATGTTAATTAATGTTAATTCTGTAATGGCTTAAATGAAACTTCTGGCTGTTGCCTGGTTAATGTCTACAAGCCAAAGTCTGGATTTTCAAAGATTGTTGTTGACACAAGCCTATTGCTATGAGTAGACTGGATGTTGTTGTAGTGCAACAAGACCTAAGACTTCTATACACATCATATCAATGTTGTAAGCTTATTAACTTAATAGTTCTGTGACTTGAGCTAGTCTTTAGGGCAAATAGCTTGTGAAAAATACGGTGTAAAAACACTATAGTGATACATATTTAATATTTCTTGTCTATTCAGGTTATAGCTACAGGTTGTGAACACTAAAAAATGTTTTAGTGTACAGTTACATGATTATATAGAAATTCAATCTGTAAAACAGGAAATGGGAAAGGATTTAAATTCCATAAGCGGATTCAGTACAGGATTTGGATTCAATACAATGTTATTGAACCCTATTACTATTGTTGTGAGATTTATGCTTCCACCCCAGCACAACAAAAGTAAATGCTATTTGTCAGAAACAGTGCCTCTGTTACTTTTACCTACTTACTTTGTTTTTTGACTGGAACGTCTTCTACTAAAGAAATAGTCCCTATAAAAATGTTTTTCTTCCACTGCTGTGAGCACCACAAACAAAATTCCATTCACCTCTATTGCACTTTGGTGATGGAAGAAATCTCACAGGCAGATATTTCCAAACCTCAGGCAAATAAAACCAAAAGTATCTACACGATACCACTTAGGGGTTAGCTGAGAAAATAGATTTTCTTGTAATTTGGCTGAACTGACCCTTTAAATCTGAGATCAGATTCTGTCTCTTTTGCTGAGATAATAAAGGCGAGATTACAAAGAACTGGGTACATTATAGGTCTTACATTCACTAATGGCTTGTGTTACGGAGGATATTAGAGTAAAACAGAAGAAGTGATAAAAATCCTCAAAGTCTGAGATGACTCTGCATCCTTTTTCAGGTTAACCAAATTCCTGTATTCCGTCATGGATCTGCTTTAGTGTCTCACTGTGAAAACTGATTAATTAAATGTACTGTAGAGTAAGTTAAACCCGGCACTATTTCAAACTCTGTCTGTGGTATCTGATTTGAGTTAATCTACCTTAAAAGGGTGTGTTAGAGTAGTTTATGAGAGCAGCTTTAGGCTTCATCCCTGCCTGTGAAAGTACTTTGTATTTAAATTGATGAATTGTAAACATTTCAGAAATATTCACCTCTTTTTTTCTTCTTCTTCTTTCAAACAGACCTCCTTTTCACCTCCTGTCCCGTTCCTCCCCTCCCCCGACTAACCTCTTTGCTCTCATTTTTTAAACTTCCAATCTTTCACATATTGTCTGCAGCCTCTCCCCCTCCACGCAGCGTATGCAGCCTCAACAGTCCAGTAAAGAATATCCATATTAGGCCGACTGTTCATCAGTCATCTCATGTGCTGTTGCTCTCTTTGGCTCATTTAAGAGTTTTGGTCTGTAACATTAGCACCGTGTCATGTTTTACGTGTGTGGGCGAGCAAGTTTGGATTCGAGTTTTGATTTGTGTTTATAAAGTTTGAACAAATTCCACCCTCGGTCAATACATGCCAAAAATAACTCCTGTGCTGTTTCTCTAAGAATGTTATCCATCTAGATATGACCAGGAGATTTTTTTCCCCCTGCCACTTAGGAGAAACTTTTTTAGAGGGATTTATTCTGCTTTTGCAGTGGCCAATGCATTATTTTGTTGGCAGTTAAAAGTTGTTAGGAATGAACAGTTTAATACACTGGAAAACATAGCAGATAGCTAGTCTCAAGTCATAACTTGTCTGTTTTTATATCCTAGGATGAGAGGCCGTTTCACTAACAAACAAGCTTTTTTTTCTAGCTCTTATTCCCATAGCAGCCCTGCAGTTCATATCATGGTCATATCCTCCAACTAATTCTTCTCTTTGTACCTGGTAGTTGACTCGTGATAACCTTTCTCTCCCTTTTGCACTCTTTTTGCTTTCTTTTCCAATGCCTGAAATAGAAGTGGAGCAAAAAGGTAAATGAGTGGTCTGGTCCCCCCCCTCCCCTCTGGCTCCTTGTTCTGTGGTGTTGAGTACAGCTCCCCTCACGTCTCCTCCCCCTCCTGATTGCCTCTCCTGTCAAATGCTAAACCCATAGGAGGATTGTTTGCACCCATGGAGTCCAAATGAATTTCAAAACAGAATTTCAAATGACATCCACGGCCATCGAATGTAGTTTTTCCCCTCGCAATGTGAAAGAAAACACCAACTGTTCGGTGTTGATTTGTTCCAGGGACTCTTGCCTAGCACTGTATTAACCCTTGAAGAAAGAGTAGTTGTGTGTATATATATATATATATTCTTATTTGGCGCGGTCTTAGTTTGCTTGGCCCAACTTCTGCTGCACCCATAGCACGTGATGTGAAATAGCAGTGATGGCTGAGTGAGATTGGCACAAAAAACATTTTTTAAAAAAAAAGTTTGAAAGGAAAGCAAGAATTCACTGTGTCCCTTTTTATCCAGAACCAATTAATTTAAAACCTTCTAAATGGGAACCGTGCCATGACCTCCCTCACCCATCAGTGGTTTCTCTTGTCTTTTGCCACAGAAGTAGTGAAAATCCTTTACCACTGTTGTTCGATCTATTCCCCAACCTCCACTTTCATTTTACCTCTGCTTTGCTGCCGCCACCACCATTTACAACCAGTTTTTCACTCTTATCACAAGATGTGAAGTCTGTCCCCTTATCATTTTGGTTCATGACCTTAGTCATGTGAGTATGCATGTGCTGTGTGTCCATATACCCAGCTGTTCATATGGCATTTGAAGTCAGAATCAGGCTGGTATTTAAAAAAAAAAAGAAAAAAAAACTACTTCGTCCATTTCCCATGTCTTTCATTTGCAGGATTTTTACCTTTTTTGTCCACATTTTGTTTTATTTTTGTCCCTGTTAGGATGTAGCAGCAGACCCTTGAGATGCAAGTTCTCTTAACCTCATTTCTCATTCTGAATAATCACTTTGACACATTCATTTATTTTCTTTTTTCCCCTATTCATTAGCAGTAGTACAAAAGCACTAGTTAAAAGAATCCTCCAAATTCACAGTCCCTGATCTTTTTGTCCTGCACTTGAGTTGTACAGCAGCGAGAATGATCTGTGTCGAATTTGTTACATGCGTTTAAAATATTTTGCCTTATTGTATTTTGTTTCACTCTTTTCTCTGTCACTAGTCTTCATTTGTCCCGGGACTCTGAAGGGTGTAGGAGACGCCACCTTCCTGTATGAGGCAGAGCAGCAAGCAGGGTCGTGGTGCAAAGACCCACTGCAGGCTGGTGACAAAGTCTTCTTCATGCCCTGGACACCATACCGCACTGACACCCTCATCGAATATGCCTCTTTGGAGGACTTCAAAAACGGTCGCCAGACGACCACCTATAAACTGCCACACCGTGTTGACGGGACAGGCTTCGTAGCCTATGATGGTGCGATCTTCTTTAACAAGGAACGCACTCGCAACATTGTCAAGTTCGACCTGCGCACTCGCATCAAAAGCGGCGAGGCTATTGTTAATAATGCCAACTATCACGACACATCGCCCTACCGCTGGGGTGGCAAGACAGACATTGACCTGGCAGTAGATGAGAGGGGCTTATGGGTAATCTACGCCACGGAGCAGAACAATGGCCGCATTGTGGTAAGCCAGCTCAACCCGTACACTCTCCGCTTTGAGGCCACGTGGGATACAGCGTACGACAAGCGTTCTGCCTCTAACGCCTTCATGGTGTGTGGCGTGCTACATGTGGTGCGCTCGACCTACGAAGAGAACGAGAGCGAGGCCAGCAGGAGCCAAATTGATTACATCTACAATACCAAACTAAGCCAGGGCGAATACACTGACATCCTCTTCCCCAACCAGTACCAGTACATCACCGCTGTGGATTACAACCCCAGGGACAACCAGCTATACGTTTGGAATAACTTTTACATCCTGCGCTACGACCTGGACTTCGGGCCACCAGATCCAGCTGAAGGTGAGAGCTGCTCCAGTTTTTTGTTTATCTCATTGTCTTTGCGTAATTCTTCTTTTGTTTGGTTGCAGCATGGCAAGTCACAGATGGCTGCCTTTTAATTTTGGTTGCAATCCAGGTGTGATAAAGAAAAGAGGGCTGTGTTAGTCTTGGGGAAAGGGCTCATTTGCAGACAGAAATGACAGATTCACCTTGGAACGAGGGATAGCTCCCAGTGGGATCACGCCACTTCAAAAACCTGTTTCTTTATTACCATGAGGCGAGCTGAGGCACTCACTCCAGCTGAAGCTTGGACCCTATCAAATTCTTTAATCTCTGGCCTTATCCAAAGCCATTATGAATACATATATATATATATATATATATATATATATATATATATGGAGGAATGCATTTGTGAAGTATTGTGCACAGTTTGTCAGAGGTTATCCTCTCCTCCTTACCTTGGGATTTCAAGTTGTATTGCCATGGCTACCTCATCAACTTCACAAAAGCTTTTTTTTTTTTTTTTTTTTTTTTTTACAATAGATCAGGAGATTGCCATTCCTATTGTGGCATAATATTTCTCAAACCACCAGGCTGAAGTATGTGTGAGTTATGCACCACATGGTGAATCAGGGTAGAAGAATAGCTAGAGAGAGAGATCAATTACAGTGAAGGATCTTGTCAGGCGGTTAGGGGGCTTAAATTAATCTGTGAAGTGCTGAGAGGCGACATATGTGTCATCAGACAGGGACCTTACATTAAACTAATGATGGACTTAATTACCTGACTGCAGTCACCTTACCCCTTAGAGCCGGGATAAGTGTCCTGTGTGAAGTGGGGAAACAAGGAGCTTGACCCGACTTCACGTTGTGTTAGAGCTTCTGGTTGCGCCCGAGCAGCAGTCTGGATTAGGTTATAATCTTTAACTTCTGGATATTCAGGAGGGGTTGCCAGGGGGAAATCTGATTCTTGACCTGTGCTGTTGAAGAGGGGGTTGGCGTTAATGTCTCAATGGCGGCTGTGTGCTCCTGAACTCTGGCCTCTTGTCAGCACGTCTGTTTGTTTTCCTGCCGTCCCCTGGAATCTCCCTAGCACCATAACTCGACACCCAAAGGGGGCTCCAAGTTTGTGTCTGTTTTGCTGAACAACCGAAGCCTCAATTAAGAGTATGTTAGAGGAGATATGAAATACTCAAAACTTTAATGAGTTCCCCATGCATGCAAACTGCCTTCTCAACTGTTCACGTCCTGATGTATGTAAATGTAATTAACAACTGAATTATCATAATTACCCTCCTTGTCTCAAAAGAGGCTCAGGGAAAGGAGGAAAGTGGCCATCACAGAGCATTTTCATTGAAGGGTTTAATGTGCTCTCTCAGCTACTGTAATGCCTCGGTAAACATAAATGCCACATAGGCTTAGTGTTGCTACTTGCTGCAAGAACAGTGCATTTAATCAAGGAACCCAACAGAACATAGTTGTTGATTTCACTCATTATTCTAAGTACTCGTTTCCTGCCACTGTTTTGTTATTGGGATCCAATCAGAAATGCGTCCTTGCAGCAGAACTTGCCACTTTGGATCATTAAGTGTGTTTTATGGGAACATTTTGAGATGTTGTGAGCTCAAGAAGGAGAGAGGAGGCATCTCGAGATGCCTCGGCCGCAGCAGCACGTCGGGCTTTTTTGAATGGCACTTGAAAATAATTGGTTCTTGTTTATTAGGTTTTTTTTCCAGATCTACACCTTTAACTTCTTTACTGTGTAGCTATTAGGATTTATCGCTGCCCATGATATGGCGTTGAATTAAACAACCTATTCTGCAGGGTAATCTAATGGTGCTGAAATAATGTCTCTCTCTCTGAAACTGAGGGGCACTTGAGGCGTAAAGGAAATTAATTGTGCCCATTAAGATTCATCGACCACAGAGTGAAGTTACCTCGAACACCAAACCCAGTGTATTTCTCTCCTTTGTAGAACTCATGTAACACAATGAGCGTCTGTGTCCTTTTCTGTCAGAAGCGTCAACCTTGGCTGTAATGCTCATCCTAGAGAGACGCTGAAGTGTCGGCAGGATTAGGGGTTTATATTAAGGGAGTTTTAGCAAAGTGATCAAAGCAGAAAATAATTGACCTTAGCAACTTGTCGTTGTTTCTGTTACCTTGTGTAAAGTGTTCGTAACACTGCAGGTTTCTTAATTCTGGCCCTGGTTGCAGTGATTAGCCAAGATCATTCCCCATATTGATCTTTTAGCTTATTGTTCCAAACAATTCACACGCATTTAAAGAAAATGTCTATGCCCTGCTAATGCATTGTGAACACAAAACAGCAATGATCAATACTTGGAGAGTCCACCTCCTCAGAGGTCTCCCTAAAAGAGGTGCATGCCAATAAAAAGCACACCTAAGTGCCTGCTGTTACAAAACTTAGAGGGACACCGGTAATGTATTCTCTGTGATGTGCAAAGCCTTTAACTGATTTCAGTCCAATGAATTCAAAAAAACCAATCAGAGGAGCCAGTAATTGCTGAGAGCATTTCAAACTAACAAGGAGAGAAAGGAGAAAATTAATTTGTCTTTGAGGTAGCATTGATCTGAGGCCTTAAAGACGAGAGGCATAAAATTAATGGCTTTGTCCGAAAGGCTTTGCCACTCAGCCTAATCTGGTAGCAGTGAGCACAAGTGGGCTTTGCACTGAATTGAAATGTCAAGAAAAAAACCACTATTTCATATCCTGCACGCAACACGATTGATACCTATCATCACAAAGCTGATGTGTTTTTTTTATTTTTGCTCAGCCATTTTGTGGCTTAACCTAGCTGTGCACCTTACTGCTCTTTGGTTGGCTTTTATATCCCTGAACGACGCCTCCAGGTGAGTCTTCAAGACGGAAGACATTTATAGATGTATCATGCACTAAGCCTGTGTTCCACCCTCTGAAGCATCATGTTCGGCAACAGAAATAGAGGCCGTAGTAAAAGAGTCAGGAGATTTGCAAGCTCTAATTATTCTGCTTCTTGCTCTGTATCGACGCAGGCGAAATTATGGATGGAAATTGTTTAAGTGGACATTATAGGGATAGACAGCAGAGAGTTTTGGAGTGTTTATGCTCTGAGTGTATTTCTGTCTGCACATATATCGTCCTGTCTGCATGCTTGTGTCTTTATTGTGAGCTGCTCTGCCACCTTCCTCTGACTCAGACTGTCTAGTTGTGACTGCGTTATGTGTGCTGCTCCACAGTGCTCAGTTTCAGGCCTCATAAATCACCCCTCACAGACACAGGATATGTCCGGCAGAGCTTTTTCTGTCTATTGCTCTTTAAAGAACAAGTGCCAAATATGTAGTGAGCCTCGCAACAATTTCTCAATGGCTTGAATTTATTTATTTTTTTATTTTTTTATTTAGCAGAAATAATGACATATTCCACAGCATTGGATAAGAAACTGCACATGATTTGTCCTGTGGCCCTTTACCTTCCATGCCAAGCTGTGTGCTCCCGTCATGTAGGCTTGAATGAAGCAGAACAGCACGAGTGCATATAAACAGCCTAATGTAAAATTCATGTCTTGTGGGATTTGTTTCTCTGTCGTTAATTACCGGCACTGGCTCTAGGTAAAGAGGCAAAAAGACCAACTGTAGCTCTTACACAGTTCTTATCCTCTGAGACAGTCTTGTTATTGAGTGAAGCTAAAAAAAACACAAAGAATAAAAACACACTGATACATAAAGACCCACACTCGGACCACCAGCAGCCGGTTAGCTTTAGCTTAGCACAAAGCCAGGAAAACAGGGGGAAACAGTCACTAATTAACAGCGTTGTGCATTATGGGATGGTTGCACAGCAGACATTTTGGCATGTCATAGAAGGAAACTCACAGGTGTATTAACGATTGCTGCATTACCATTATTCATGCTGGTTCACTGTAAATGTTACTGGGACCATTAATGAGCCGTCGTCACTGTTATTAAATCCACCTGTGTGTTTGTTTCTGCTGTGACAGGTCAAGATGTCTGCTGTGCAACCAGTCCATTGAATCTTACTGGAGTGTCAGAGATTACAGTTTGAAATTAATCCATCAATAATTTCATTACAGTTACTAATCCCAGTAACCCTCCTTTACAATATGGGCTTGGCTTCATGGTGTTTAACTGGGAGTTTGATGGAGGGATGGTTAGTTTGGTCTCTGTGCATCCAGTGAAGATACTGTTGATGTGTTACTGAGAACTCTCAGTAACATCAAAGTTGTCTAATTTGCATGTTGTGAGCTTTAGCTGGCTCCCACATCTGTACTGGTAATCCTACATTCAAGAATAAGCTGGTTTTGTTTGAGGGTATGTGAACCATGCTGGCTCACTGTATGCAGTCACTAGGGCTAATGTTAAGCTCGCTGTTGATGGTCGGTAAATACCTCCAAGCCATAGGTTGGTTGTTTATTAAACCACAATGTCTTGTTTTCTTTTTCTACATGTGTTAAATAAAGAATATGTGACATGTAGATGTGGAGGATTGGGTGTATGTAATGAGTAATTGATTAAACATTTTCAAGTAACTTGCTCAACACTGTAATTACATCTTGTTTGTTTAATCGGTAAAAAAAACTGAAGTATAACAAAGACAAGTTGCTGTTTTACTCAGGGTTACGTGCCAGACGTTGTCTCGGCTCTGAGCAGTTTCTGAGAATCCAGAATACAAGTAGTTACTGTGCTGGGCCAAAAATCTGCCACATAACCCACCATAAAAAAAGCTAATTGTCATTTTTACACTTTATTTATTTGTACAGATGTTAGTTAGTGAGCTTTAGACGTGCTGATATTTTAATTTTGTTAAAGCTCCTTCCCCTTGTTTCCGTTCTTTATGCTAAGCTAAACTGCTCAGATGCTTTTTCGCTGCTGGATAGAGCATTTTATTTACCATTGCGTATATTTTTCATGCTCCTTTCTTGTTCTTGTTGCATGTTCACAGTGCAATGAAAAGGAAAGTATTATACCACATCTGTCACATGTGTTTTCCTTCTTGGATTGACAATAGGGAGTTTGATCCCTGCTAATTAAAAACAGGGTCCTCAGCTCATCTTCTAGCAGTATGCAGCTGAATAAGGTGCTTCTCAGTTCGAGGACAGCAAACGTCCGAGGGGGAAAAAAAGGGACTGGAGCACACGGATTGATTTGCAGCCTTTAATAGTCCAAACAAACCCTGCTAATGTAGGGATCATTTTTAACTGAGCCTATTCGATATTTCCTTTCAACTATATGTGCCTATGTGTTATTGTACTGGGAGGATTAGCCTTGTAAGTGATTCATCATCAAAAATTAAACCACTTAAAACAGCTTGATTTGGCTGTGAGTTGACATTGCTCTTCCCTAATAGCAGGTATTAGGCGGCTTATGATCCATTTATCCTGCCGTTTGTATGGACAGGTAGATAGTTTTTATTGCTCTGACTGTATGTGTGTAATTTGAGATAAAAATGCTCTTTTAATGCTACAGAATAAGCTGCAACAGCAAGGACAAACAGAGTATCTAGGCCTTGGATCATCTGATTATGGTTTAATATTTTTTGTCATTTTCCTCGCAGATACGTAAATGACTCTAGGGGGCTATAAAGTGATAAAACTAATTCTGTTTCATCTCTGATGTCTTGATTGATGATCTTGCATAATGGGTTTCCTTCCTTTTAGCTCTGTTTTAATTTACACACTCTGTTTAGACTCTGGTGACAGCCATTTTTCAAGTGTTCAGTCTCGAGCTCTTCCATTATTTACAAGAGGTATTATTCAGCATATGGCAACAGTATGCCTTTGGTGTCAGATTGCCCATAAAGAGTGACTTCACTGCCTCTTGGGAGAAATGGTATCTAATTGGTGCAGCCCTCTCTTGGTTGAGTGCTATCAGAGGACACAGAGCTCTTACTGGACGAGAATTTGCTCTTCGCAATCAAAAGAAAATTGTAGCGTGCCTGGTGCAGAGACATCAAAATAAGCCCACAAATGCATCGACATCTGACAAGCACACTGCTTGATGTAGTATTAGATATGTTGTATATTTAATGTTCTTGATGTTCTTCACAATCACACTCTGATTACCCAAGACATGCTGACAGAAAACATCCACAAAGATTGTATCTTGTCTTTGATTAAAAAAATCACTCGGTCGACTTCTGAGTACCCCTCCTAATTAAAGCGATATGATTGTATGATTTTGCCTTTAAGAGCGAGAGAAACAATGACCAAGTGTCTTATAGAATAAACTCAAAATATTTTTTAATTGTGATGGAAAAAGCTAATTTGGTGTTTTTTTCATACACTAGAATATAATGTCATGTTCCTAGGGTTATTTCTATTGGATTTTGTGCGTGATTAAAATGATTATGGCTTCAATTATTTTCATTATATATTAATCTGCCAAATATTCATTAATTATATTGTTAATAGTGAAAAAATACCCATCACAGTATCCCAGAAACCCAATGTGATGTCCTCAACAACAACGATCCAGAATCCAAACATTAAATTTACAAAAAGAGAAAGGCAGAAAATCCTCACCTTATTATTAGGGCTAGAACCAGAGAATATTTGGTATTTTTGCTTGAAAAATGACTTAAACGATCAATCTATTATCAGAATAATTCATTATCTGTCCATCGAGTAATTGGTTACTCTGTTAAAAGTTTCAGCTTAAAGAGGAACGCCACTTCATTTTATATTTTTATATGATTGAAACTTCTTACACATGTAGGCCTACATTTTTATTTGACAAGTTTGAGAGCTGCAATGATTTGGTGATTTATCCAATAGTCAATCAACAGAAAATTATTTGGTAACAATTTGGATAAATGAACTGCTTCTTACTATTTATATACAGTTTTGCACTGTTAGCTCAACAAAACAGTCAATTTTGAAACTATGGTGGGATTTTGTGACATGTTTGAGACTAAATGATTAATCAAGAAAATAATAGATAATCAAATAAATTTTATTTGTATAGCACATTTAAATCAACCAGAGTTGACCAAATTGCTGATTATTATTTCATCATAATGAAAATAGTTATTTGCTGCAGCCGTAACAGGTAGATGTAAAGAACTATATATTTTTGTTGTCTCTTAATTGATTCAATCATTAATGATAATACACGCTATTAAAAAGCATTTGCCTAGATGACGAAATGATGATGAAGAAAAAACAAAACAAAAACAAAGGCCAAGACCGAACATAATATTTCTTGATACTGTATGATAATAAGTGCTGAAATGTGGGTGGAATGGGGCTTTGGACTAGTTGGAGCAATATGGTCTCAGGAGCAGGTTAATCAGGTGATGCAAGCATGCTGTTACAGGCAGATGCATATTAGGGGCTTATATCAGCCTGTGGAAAAGCAGAAGTTTGCTCAGGTATGGAGAGGTTTAATATTCTGAAACCCAATTACACTTGCCCTAGTATTGCATTATATGCGTATATTGAATCAACAGAGTCAGCCTATGAATCATCTCACTTTTCCTGAGTCAATAAAAAATCTTCACTGGGAAGACATAATATATTTGAGACACCTTTTTTTTCTTTTGAATGCGGCATTGTTATACTATTATGTAATATAGTATTTTACTTCTAGAAAATACAAACTTTTTTAAATCAAATTTACTCTAAGAAAGTTAAAAGAAGAAGACTGTGGCCACTCCGCACATTGCTAATGATCTCAGGCCCTTTTTCTTGAACTGTCCCTGCAATTTTTGCCAATTTTTGCCAATTTTTGTCATTCTTAACCTGTTTCCTTGGAGAAGCTGAGGGTGCTAACTGGCTCATGCTAACCGCATTTGTCAGCTGTTACTTTTGCAGCCGTGCTGGCCTGGCCAACCTGTGAACGTCTGGGTGACAGACACACAATGACTGAATGAGTGTAAGGTAATTAGCCAGGGCTTCTGCCAGGGGAAAAGGTCACTGAGTAAAATGTCACAATTCAGCCTCACTGTAGGTTGGTTTGGGTTTTATTTTTTTATAGTGTGCATCACAGGAACACTCTTTCCTCCCTACTGTGGCCTTCTGACCACATCGCTAGATATCAGCTTTGTAATAAACTCAGATATTTCACTGGAATAAAAAAAAAAAGATCCCCCTGACTGGCTGATTAGTGTGAAACATGAAATGTGGGCTTTGTCACCATTCTCTCTCAGGAAATGGAGATGTGTGTCTGATGATGGAGTGTCAGATAGCATGATATTGCATTTTCCCAGAAGCACCCAGGGAACCTGAAGACAACACTATAGTGCCTTTCACAACGGCAGACCTCATTGTGGGAAGCTGCTTTTATCTCAAATACAATCAGGTGGTTGTGGATAAAAATGTATGATCATTCATGCAGGAGACGAGTGTATCCATGTAGTCACACGTGCACACACTCACACACAAACATGCACTGTGTTTTCTTTTTTATTCATTGGCTATTCATACTGTATAAAATTTATAGATTTCCTATTTCTGCTCTCATTTCCTAGTTATCTTCGGGCACTCTGCAGCAGATATCCATCTGAGTGCACGCAGTAGTCTTAAGCAGGAACACACCTGAGCAATGGAGCAAACACAAGCGCAGTTGCACATGTGCATGAGCACATTCACACACCGATTTGCTTCGCAGGGTAGGCGTGGATTGAATACAGTGGAATCACATTATTGCTGATGTATGGTTTTTGCTTGGAGCAGTGCAGTTCTCCTTCCGCACACAAGCTTTATCAAAGTGGGAGAGATGAACTAGGCAGAAAAAAAGTAAAATGCAGGCAGGCTTTGTCTTCATTGTTGACATTTAATCAGCCCAAGGTACTGATTCTGTTGGAGGAAATCACTGCTATGTCAAAGGACGCCACCGCCAGTGCTTGTCTTATTTATGGGTTTAAGTAAACTAAAAATAGCAAGAGATAGATGTTGTGTCGTGTTGGCAGGTTTGCCTTGATTTTGTTTATTGAAGGAGCAGAAAAGAGATGGAGTTACGAGTGAAAGCTGCATGAAGCTTTTTATTTCTAGGAATTATGGGAAGCTGTAACTCTAGCAATACCAACAAGCCACAGGACTCAAAACAGTTGCAGTTCCCCCACTGCTGGACACGACGGGAGCTCAAGGCAAGGACATTTATGACTCGATCTGTAATAGTTTCACTCTTCTCTCATTCTAGTGCCAACAATCGAAGATTTCTCCATCTCGCCGTCCATTCCAAAGACCACCTCAGTAGTCACCACCACGGTTGTGTCCACTGGGAAGGGGCAGGGTGACACCACCGTAGCAGGAGCAGATCCCAGAGATGGGAGGGACCCGTTTGAAGAAAATCGTGGCTTAGGTACAGCAGAGCCCACAGTCCCTGAGCTGCCACCGACTCCCAGACGCTTCTGTGAGGCCACCAGGAGGAGAGCCATCGACTGGCCCCAAACCCACACTGGAAACACTGTGGACAGGCCCTGCCCCAAAGGGACCAGAGGTAAGCCCACCGTCTGTGTTTGACACATACTGATGGCATGTTGTAACTTCATGTAAAACAAAATGTTCTTTAAATTTACACTGTATTCTATAAATAATTGTACATTTTCTTTAATCTTTTTCCACCCACTGTTCTGCCTGTAGGATAGCACTATATATATATATATATATATATATATATATATATATAGAACATTCATGGAGTGCTAATACTTAATTAAATTTTAACATTTAATATGTAGCCTAGATAGATTCAACTATTTTCTCTAATTGTGGTATTTTTTTAAAACAACGCCATGTCATTACACAGGAGTTAATACTGGGGGTTTCCACATTGTTGGAAATTTGGTTACCGGTATTTGCTCCTGTCGAAAATTTTAGACAGGAAGATTGATACCGTTTTCATGTGTGTACGTCGGGAGCTTAGCTTAGCACAAAGACTGGAAACAGTGGTAAACAGCTAACTTAAAAGTCAATTTGTTTTCGTGGATGCATCTGTTGTAACTATTTCTTACAATGTTTTTATAAGTGAACTTTAGAGGACTTGCTAATAAGTGGGCTTCCCCCCCCTCCCCCGGCTCCCACTCTTTATGCTATGCTAAGCTAATCGTCTCCTGTTGAATTAAAAAAACACCATCTGTGGTGCAAAGTTATAATCAGCGTCATCTATATAACAGTAACGGCTGTTTCCATGGTGAAAAGTTTAATTAGCTCTGATGCTAACTTGTCAGTACGTTGCAGGTTAATAAGTTATTAACATTATTTGCATTCTTCACAAACTATCACTAAACCAGTTAATTTGTAGTTTTTATTTATAATATATTGTCATAAACACAAACTAAAACAGAAACACCAACACTTTAATCAGTGACCATGACTACTATAACAGTCAGATGACCAGCTGATCCCAGAGCTGTGTGGGAGAAACTATCTAATTAGTGCTGCTATGTAAATAGCTGCCAATGTTTGTAAATGACAGTCTCTCATTTTCTTCCAGCTATGGCCATCTTTCACACTTTACATTATGAAGCTGCTCAGACATTTGCTCCCGTGTAAGTGGAATATGGTCAGAAGTGGCATATTTCACAATGCAACATATTACCACTTCTTTTGTCAACAGGAATATATGGTCAATAGTACTTGATTGTATTAGCATGTAAATGTGTATATTCTTTTTTTCATCTTGTGTAACTGCAGCTATTTTTAATCCTCTTGGTTATTCACTGCTGAACACTGTAGGGGGTAAACAGGTATAGTGGGGTTTTTTTTCTGTTTCCATCAACGATCAAGTATTTCAAAGAGAGTCTTAGAATCACACTTTAAGAATACAAATGATCAGAGACAAAGCTTCAAAGATCCTGACAAAATATGTGAAAATAGCCCTGTTACTTAAGCTGAGCTTATATAGGTGTTAATGTGCTTTTTCCATCATTGCTTATATATACAGAGTCTATGACATTTTAGCTTAGGGGCATGTCAAATTTGAAACTATAATTAAGCATGATTAGAGCCTTTCATATCGCTGAAAATAGGTAACACGACTCTATTTTAATATAATGGCATAATGTATATTATTACTGTTTGTAGGTAATTTTAAAACCCATTTCTTCTTGCAATAAGAGTGCACTGAGAAAAAAAACAAACATGCTGTTGCCCACTCCCCCCTAACAGAAACAAACGAATACGATGAACAATTATATAAAAAGTTACAAAATAGAAAACTCTACCAAAGATCAGTCTCTACTAGTTGTCTTAATTACATTCAGACAGTATATCCACATTTAAAATCACTTCTCGAAGCGTACGAAGTCAACAGTGAGGGCAACATCGTACTGATGGCAGTTATACCAGTTGACAATGATACTCACACAGGAATCTCTCACAAGTTACCTTAACACACCATCACAGAGACTGACAGAACTGTCAAAATATAAAGAAGGGCTATTGGAGGATGAAAGCAGAAAAGAGACAATGTTTTGACTGTGGAGGTGAAAAGGGAATGAGTCTTGGATGTAATGTTGTCGCTGTTGTCAGTGAAGAGGCATTCATTAGGAGTTATCTTGCATTTTATTTAGACATGCATAGTATGGGAGCATATAAAATGTTTACAGATAATAACAAACCAGAGTCCATTGTTTTTTTCTGTCAGTTTTGTCCGAGCTATGTAGGAACCTGATAGTGTTTTAGTATTCCGTTTTGTTTTGTTCGTGCAGACTGCACAAAGCTTGAAGGCTTTCAAATTGTTTTGAAATGTTGTTCCTGCCGAACAGTTCGTTTCCTGCACCAGAGAGTCTGTATGAATGAAGGATCAGCAGGAGAAACTGTATTTGAGCAAGGTTTTGGCTTCCCTCCAACTGTTGTGTTTATTCTGTGGTACTGCAGGCATCGCCTCCTTCCTGTGCACTGTGGCAGGGACCTGGTGCTCCAAAGGCCCGGACCTCAGCAACTGCACCTCCCACTGGGTGACTCAAGTGGCACAAAAGGTAAAACAGGAATGTGTCAATTAGAAAATATAGCAGCAAACAAACATTTTACACAGCTCAAATCAAACATCTAGTGGCAGTGTTTGACCTTTTTGCTTGCTTGGTCTATTTTTATTCTTACAGCAGCAGAGAACTGATCATGGATATATATCATAAAAATACTCCATATACGTCAAGTGTAGCTAAAATACAGAATGGTAGCAGAAAGAAATGAGCTATCTAAAACATCAGGAGTAAATGCCAAGTTCTGCAGTCAGTTACTGAGAATCAAAGAGCCTGAGCTTCTTCCTTCACTGACTCTTGTGCTTTGATGTTCAACAGTCATGCAGGTAGAAATCTAATGTAGACGCAGAGATAACAGTTTCAGTAGCCTGAACGGACCATAATGCAAGGCCTTTTTCTCCTTCTGCATGCAGCAGGTTCAGACAGGGTGCTGGCAGTGGGCATTTTGGGAAATATAGACATGGCTAACAGAAGAACTGTGTCCTAATTCCATATTACTAATGGAATTAGGACATTAATTATACGCAGGTTTGGGAAAAGTCCCATTTTCTCAAAATGCACTGCACATATAGAAGGTACTCGCAGATGCAAAACATTTAAATACATTGTGGCTGGTGGTGAGACAGTTGACAATTGATGTCTGTGCTTGTATTGCTTCATTTCCTCTTAGTACAAAATGGAAAAGTACATTGATTTGTTGTACACTAACTGCAAAGGCATCACACCATGAACATTAGTATATACTGTATTAAAGTATTATGTAGAATGAAATTGGGTCACAGCTCACTCAAGGCAGGTTGGGTGCGCCAAAAAAGTAGAACACCTAATCATTATTGCAGAGTTTTGCTTTTTCTTTCTTTTCATAATGCTTATGTGTTGCAATTACGCTGTTATTCTCCCTGCTTAACATGCAGTCCCTGTGTTTACATGCAATAGATTATGACTCTGAGGTGTAAGTGGAATGCATTATTTCAGCTTCACATTGCAGAACCATCTCGGGCCTGCTTCGCTGACGCTTCACTGACACCCACGTTTTCTTCGTTGCTGTTTTTAGATCCGAAGTGGCGAAAACGCTGCTAATTTAGCCAATGAGCTGGCACGCCACACACAGGGCCCGGTATTTGCCGGGGACGTCAGCTCCTCAGTACGCCTGATGGAGCAGCTGGTGGATATCCTGGATGCTCAGCTGCAGGAGCTCAGGCCCAGCGAGAAAGACTCAGCTGGACGCAGCTTCAACAAGGTACCGTGAAAATTTCTGTCTGACCTAAAGTTTGTCCCCCTTTTGGCCCAACTCTGTCAGCATGACTCAGGACATTCATTAGCAGGACACCTACCAACACACACAAACACATGCACTTACTTACATGCACACACACACACATACACAGTCTGAGGTGAGGGGGCTAGGGAGGCAGGTCTAGCCCTGAGGGGAAGCTCATTCCTCTGCAGCTCCCTGGTAATTACTGGCTTTGGAAACACCGGCTCACCTGGCAGTTCTACCTTAAAGGAGCTAATGGCCATGAGCCCCCCACCAACACAAAGAATAACTCTTCATTGCTGACAAGTGTGGAACACTCCCCTGGAGTTTCTGCAGGCACCTGGCGGGAAAAGAGTAGGTCTAAGACGTACCTACATCTCTCAACTGCTGGCAGTCCCATGGAGAGATGACTGACAGTCTGAAAAATTACATCGTTATTCAGACTTTCTTGACAGCAGTTGCTCTGTAAACAAAGTGATTTGCACCAAAATGACGCCCGTCGTTTGTGCGCTAATGTTCAGACAGCTATATTGCAATTATCGCATTTGAAGATAAGAGCTAACAGGTTTCTCACTGCAGCGCTGATAGCGTTGCACTGAGTCCCATCAGAACAACAACACCGTGCGATTGGCTGATTACAAGCGACAATGACTGAAGTTTAAGGACCATAAAAGTAATATTTCAAGTTGCATTGTCTTCACATACACTTTTCATTACAGCTTACTATTCTGCTGTGTTTTTGATTATATGATTAATTTTGATCTACTCTTCCAATCAGCCATTGGTTTCCATTAATTTCTCAATTATATGAAAATCTATTAGCAGACTTGCTTGAGTTGTGGAATCCTTCATAGTGAACACCAAGTCTGCATACATTTTTTGTCAAGTTGCATTATTGCTGCTTACTAATGCATTTTAATTGTTTGACTTTTTTTCTTTTGCTGCTTTCAAGTGGTTATTTTAATTTTTAGTTTAGTTTAAATGTATTTATTTTTATTTTAAAACAACAATACTTACCTACCTACCTACCTATCTGCAGTCTTTTTTGTGCACATGGGTAACTAAAAAGCTGATTAGAAACCCAGTTACCTATATACATGACCAAGAAATCAGTTTCTTCCGAACCTGGAAATCAGGTTTGCCCTGATTCTCCTGCCCTGATTATGGAAACTGTCTTTCTCGTTTACATGACCGAGAAATCAGGTCACTGCAGAAAGCTGCAACTGTATATGCATGTAAATGCACATACAACTGGAGCGAGTTTCAAGAGTCTGCCAAAGGATTTTCGTGTCATACAGAAGTAAATGAAAGCCAATGGGTGCTTATAATGAAAGGAAAAATCCATCTGGAAATTCAAAACTACACAGCATGCATTAGAAAATGAACAGCAAAATACGTGATTTGTATTCAAGAAGTTAACATATACAAAAATCCTGGTATGGTCCTTAGAAGATCAGTGCAGCCCCTTCCCATAAATCAGAGTAAATGGCGGTATCCATGGGAGCAATCTTGTCTCAGCTAAAGAAAAACTTTGGTTTCCTGTGTGCGTTTCCAAGAGGTATTTATGATGTGGAGGCTGTAATCTGGATACAAAGAACATTTTATCTCTTTGTTTTCCACTTCTGTGTGAGAGCTACAGTATGTGATTTTCTCCAGTTCGACTCAATTAGGAGGAGAAGGCGACTTATTTAATGCCAAGAGACCAACAAAGGTTTTTTTTAAAAAGAGCTAGTGCTATATTATTCTCTCCATACCATGAAATACAAATGACCTCATCCCACATTGTTTATCTGCTCAATGTATTTTAAAGCATCACTAATGGGGAGCATCAGGATCTAGTCTCAGCACTTTTTTCTCTATGCTGCTGTGCATTTCTCATCTCTTCCCCTCCCTATTATGTGATTCATATTCATATTTAGAATTCACACCACACAACACTGTGTTCACACAGCATTCAGAGCTGTTGCATCACTTTAAGGGTTATAGTTCATGGACCTGTGCCTTTTCTTCTTTTCACAAGTTCTGTAATTTATGGTAAGTGGCATGATTTAATGCTTCCTGTTTTCTTACGATCTGTCTTTTGTGCTTGATCCTCTTGTTGTGTGGAAAAGCTTCAAAAAAGAGAGAAGACATGCAGGGCGTATATGAAGGTATATAACTACCACTGTAGGTTTTCCATGTTGCTTTTTTATCCCTGATCCCTAACGCCTGACCAGCAGCATGCGGCACTGTCTGTCTCTATGTGTGTCTGGTGACCCGCTTGTATCAGATATGGCTGCCTCCTCTTCTGTCCATCTGAGGATACCACCGTCAATATCACTCCGTCTTTGTCCCGTATTCCCTCCACCGTGTGCTATCCCTCGTACATCTTTCTTTCATTTGTCTCCTTCTTTTCTCCCCCCCCCAACTCGTTCTCTCTCTCTTCATCTCTCTTGTCGGCTTTTCATACGTTGTGTGAATAATTGCCTTCCCATGGTCGTAATTGCACCTCCCTGTCAGCTAGAAGTGTGATCAAAGTGGCAGTGTGCTCAATTTTCACTTGCTTACATTGTACAATTTCTAGTCTTCCTTGTCCCCTTAGCAAAAAAAAAAACAACCCTCCCCTCCTGCTGCAGTTGTGTTTTATCTGTGATATTAATTTCTGAACCCATTAATATGTTTGTGTTCCATTCTGATTTTTTGGTCTCTCCCGCAGACGTTTTGCCATTCATGTGTTGTGGCAGGATTTATTTCCTTGAGAAGGTTCTGCTGGAAGACAAGGGCATGGTGTAAACAGTCAGAGGAGATGCCTTGCATGGCGCAATACAAAAGATCTGATTTTGTATGTCTCAGTGGCTCAGGGACCTTCCTATCAGTGTGGGTTGTTTTTACTTGAGGTCTCATTTTACTGAGAGAAAAGAGGGATGCATTTCCCTCAACTGATTTTGAAATGTGGTTTTAGAGGTGCCCGCGGCATGAGTATAGATGGCGATGTCCGCCAGTCTGTCAGTAGACCACTTTGGTTTAGGCTGAAATTTGTTGGGTGGATTGCGATGAGATTTAGTTTTTTGTTGTGCCCAGAAGATGAATCCCAATTACTTTTCCTTTGCCACCATTTTTGTTTTAAACGAGTACTCTGCAGATTACATGCTGTTTTAAAAAAAATCTAAATCAGTGCAGCAAGACCATAAATATCATTGTATTCATTCCATGCATTCTTCTTCCTTGTCAAAACCTGGTGCCTCATTTACCCACAATGCAAATCTACTCACATTTCAAAGTAGAGGCTAATGCAGTGTCAAGCTGCAAGTCTACAGAGGTCTGGTGGTAACTAAGCTCACTTCTTTCGAAAACCACACCGATGGTTTTTTAAATTTCCAAATTTGCGTTTTTTTGCGAGTCTCGGGGGCTACCATAGTTTCTCCTGCATGCTTGAAACAGGAGGGGGAGGCGAGGGGGTTGTAATCTGCAACTTTACCGCTAGATGTCTCTAAATTCTACACACTGCTCCTTTTTAAGATAAGGAAGGAAGGAAGGGAATTCTTGTGAAATTGCTCAAAAGTTCAGAGCTTGCATGGCTGCTAGCTTGTTTTTGTGTCGCCGCTGTAGCTCTTGAGGTCGGCGCTGTTTGAGTGCTCGCCGAGCTCTCGTCACGTGATTCTTTTCTCTAGCTATAACGAGCCATGGGGGCTCCACTGGTAGCACCCCTGTGATTTGTAAAGTGACCTCCACCCAAGCGAGAATTAAAGAGGATTCAATCAGAACACAGATCCTTCCTGTGCTACACAAATTAGAGGCAGACGACTTTTTTTCCCCCCCTTTTGGATTTCATGGGTCCTTTGAGGATGGCTCACTGGGGGGGTGGACCATTTAGTGTCTGTCTGGTTATAATGGCTCCGACCCTGTAATAGCCACTACTCTCTCTCACAAGCAGACGCACACATACACACACTTAACTCCCATCATAGTCACAGCTCGCAAGCTTCTAGTTGGCTGCAAGGTCAGGGCCACAGAGATTGATTTCTATGCTTCGGCCTGAGATATAAAGACACGCTGAGAGCCCTGTGTCTGGATACAGTCATCATTGCTGTGGTTAATATGAGCTCAGTGGTTAAATGTTGCGGTTAATCACATATTGGTGCAGACTTTGGTTGATCCCCTTTCTTGTTATTCCAGGCAAACGGATAATCCTGTCTGTGGTCAATTAGTGTTTTGGATAATCACAGCTGTGACTAATTGGTACAGTGAGCAAGGGCTTGTTGTGGTTAATTACCGTTATTGTGGTGGGCCTTGCTGTGGTTAATGGCACCTATGGTTAAATTGTCACTCTGATTTATCACACCAAAGGTTGCTCTTGATTCTGAATCTGGGATTTCAAGAAAGTTGGCGATGTTGTGGTTGATTGTGTCAGGCAGGAGGGATGAACTCACCCTGCCAGGGTCAAAGGAAACTCTTGTTTTATCAACATATGATACTTGTGTGGGTTTTGTGGAATGTTTTGCTTCCTTACTGCTTATCAGAAAGCAGGAAATGAAAGGATTGCTATTGAAAACAAGCAGAAATTTCCCCCAGTGTTGACTCAGACTGCCACTCTGGACATGGATTTCATGATAATGCCCATTTTCCTCCAGGAGAATAGTATTCAAGGCCATTATGGGCAGATCCTGTTAAGGAAATAGGACTATTGTTCATGATAATTGTTCTTTTGGAAAATTGCTCTTTAAAACCAGGAATTTAGAATTGTGGACAGCTTCATTCAGTGAAGGGAAAGAAAACATTTGGTTTGTATTTCTTTTTCCCTAAAGCGTTTCTACATTATTCAGTAAAGGAATTGGTCCAACAGAGGCTTCCTCAGATTAGGCCTATTTTTTGTAAACAGAATATTCAATAATACATACTACATTTTTAATAATCATTATTATTTTAGTTACCCTTGACTTCCTTGAACCCTTGTGTCTTCAGTCAGAGTGATCTTGATATTTGAGTTTCAGTCGTTGTTGTTGCTGTCACTGTTGGCCATGCATGCCCTTTTTATCATTTGCTGCCCAGTCCCCACTCATTGTTATTAAACTGAAGTTATGATGGGGGGGGGGAAACAGCAAGCTGACATTTCACTTGTCTCCATGGATACAGGCAATTGTGGACACTGTTGACAACCTCCTGAGGCCAGAAGCCCTCAAATCCTGGAAAGACATGAATTCCACAGAACAAAGTCACGCCGCCACAATGCTACTGGATACACTGGAGGAAGGGGCCTTTGTCCTCGCAGAAAATCTGATCGAGCCAGCAATCGTAAAAGTGCCTGCAGAGAATATCAGTAAGTTCCTCTCCAATAACTGTAAGACAGATGAAACTGTATGTTCACATCTGTCACTTGCAATTTATGATGCTCATGGTTGTTTTTCTTTCTGGCTGTGCACCACCTCTCAGTAAAATTGTTTTAAACTAAGTGGTAACATTTTCTTCAGGGGGATTTTTAAAAAAAAATGTTTTATTCCTCCAGGAAAATCTAATTTTAAAAACATCTTGCTGACGTCACAAAAAAAGACTTGACTCCAAAAACACAAGCAAATGTGTCCTCAGAGGCAGTTTATTAGCAACATGATCTCATTCATTTAAGTCACCTTTGTGCAGTGAACTGTCATATTTCTACTCGTAGCTCTTTGTTGCTATGGTTATGGTCTCCGACTCACCCTTTTTGTCTTATACCTCACTGATTTTTAATCTTTTTCTTGTGTAGAAAAGTCACCTCATTGAAGGTGCGCTGCAAGATGAACTGTCCAGACCTCTGGGGGAAAACAATGAAACCAATTGAATGGCATTGTTCCATTCACACAGCACTCTATCTGTTCTCTCCAGGCCTTTCCCATTAAGTGGTAGTTAGCTAAGCTGATAAGGAATAGTTGCTCTGTCTCTAATATAAGCACTGATTAATACATTGTGTAATATGCTGTGTATTGGCTACTTAATCACCGGATTGAGGCAGTTTTTATGAGTTTGTCACATTTTGCTTATCTGTGCAATAGAGATAATATTCCAGTGGAGAAACATAAATACAGCCATATTAAGAACCCCACAACCTCCGAGAACAGCTTACCTGACCTCCTGCGAAGAGTTGAAAAAAATGCGAAAATGATTGTTGCTCCTAATTAGCAGTTTGCCGAAGCCCAAGTGGCACCTTCAGGCGAGCATCAAGGGCAAGGCGAGGGGAAAGGGAGGGAGAGCGAAAAGAGAGCTAAAAAACCAGACAGAGGAGGAGAGCAACCACAGAACAATTCCTCATCTCCGTCTGTCAGAAGCCATCTATCTGAGGAAGTGAGGCCGTTTCTGATGGGAGGGAGTGTGCTGATACGTGTGTCCTCCTGACCCTTCAGTAATTTCACACATCAAAGGGAGCACCACCCGGCAGCTGGCATACCGGAGAGAGGGGCTGCAGGAATTTGGAGGATTTTCAGAGATTTGCTCGTCGAGCCCTGAGTTATCTGAACCCACAGGGGAAAGAAAAAGTAAAAGTAAAAGCTCAATGATATTTTTGATCCTATGAATATTTGACATTCATGCTGCACTAGGCTGTGTGCTTGCATTTGCTCATCCTCTATCGCCGCCCTTGTTGTTATTTTTTCTTTTGCTCTTGCCTCGGAGGCTTTCACAATGCCAGCTAACAGCTTAGTGACATGGTTTTTTTTTATAAGTAAATGAGACTCTACGGGTTCTTGCCAATAAGATTTGATTCTGTTACGGGCACAATGAACCTCGAGTATTTACACATTCTCCTGCTGGGCCTCAACCGTAGAGCTCTACTAAACAACATGTTGCCTATGAGTAATACGTTTCTCCCTTTCTGTCTCTCTCTCTCTCCCCCATCATCTCCTTCCATCTCGCAGTGTTGGATGTGTACGTGTTAAGCACTGATGGCCAGGTGCAAGACTTCAGGTTTCCTCAGACAAGCAAGGGTGGAGCGTCCCTTCAGCTTTCCTCCAACACAGTCAAAGTCAACAGCAAAAATGGTGAGACAAATATAATTGCTGCTGAAGCATTACATCATGGTTAAGTTTGAGTTTTATTTGTTTTTTTTTACCTTTTTGAGTTGTTTCAGCAGTTAAGCAAGTGAAGTAAAATCTGTTTTGCTTTCTTACCAAGAGTTAGAAGAAAACATCGATACCACTCTCATATCTGTAACTATAGAACTAAAGGCGTGAGGTGATTAGCTAAGCTTAGCATAAAGACTGGGAATAAGGGGAAACAGCTAGCATGTTTCTGTCCAAAGTTCAACTATACGCCTACCAACAGCTCTAAAGCCTGCTAATTAACACAATGTATTTGTTTGCTATAAAGCAACAAGTTGTTCTTTTAAGGGAGCTCCTGGAATAATTGAGAACAACAGTTTCTGTGGCTTAGAATTAAGATCACAACTTTCCCTCAAGATTCTGGTGCATGTCATTAAAATCTGTCGAAATATCTTGTTTTAACCATTTGCGTCCATCCATGTCCTTTGGTAGAAAAACACCCTTTACAGCTATCTCCTTCAGCAGATAACAACTTGTTAATAAGTCTATGGACATGAGCAGCAATGAGTTGTTTTTATCACTTTTGTTTCTACAGATTGAACAACTGGGATGTAACTTAAATAGTAAGCTTTTGAGGTCCTGGTAGGCAGACTTTGGATAGAGCAAGGCTAGCTGTTTCCCCCTGTTTTCAGTCTTTTTGCTAAACTAAGCAACTCATCTGCTGGCTATAACTTAATATTTACGCACATAGTGAGAGCGGTATCAACTTCTCATCTAACTCTTAGCCAGAAAGCAAACAATCGTTTCTCCCATTATATGAAACTATCCTTTTATGGTTTGGTACGTTCATTCAACATCAATAAATGAATGTATCTCTATTCAGTGAAGAGATCATTTGTACTTTGCTATAGTGATTTATGCCCCCTGTGTATGTCTAATGTTTTATTATTGCCGGTTGCAGGTGTAGCCAAGCTGGTGTTTGTGCTCTACAAACACCTGGGTCAGTTCCTCAGCACTGAGAACGCCACACTGAGGGGAATCGGGGACCCGAACAAACGCAACCTCTCCCTCACCGTCAACTCCCACATCCTGTCAGCTTCGATAACCAAGGAGTCCAGCCGTGTGTTTGTGGCCGACCCGGTGATCTTCACACTGGAGCACCTGGATGTAAGCCTCCTCCGAGACTCCCCCAGATAACACTACAGAATTGGGTTGTTAAAATACTAAAATCGCTGCACAGCATTTTGCGATGAAGGGCAAATGCAGCGCTTTGACGTATCATTGTTGTAGAATAACTGCTGGGAGTTAAGAGGAAGTATCTATACTATGCTAGTGTGTCATTGTTGGTGATTAGCACTCAAGTTTTCTTCTGTGATGTATTTTTCCTTGTGCTTGGAAGCTGCCATAGCAACCCCTCTCACATCTCAACTTATCAAGTTTCAGTTTTACTTCTTTGTTTGGATCTCCTTCATCCCTTTTCTTTGAAAAAGTAAATTGGATAATTGCAGATGTTAAAAGCGTAAAACAAGCACATATAAACACAGTCCACACACGAGGTACATTGACTGTCTGTTTCTTACAGTTATGAAATATACAAGGTGGGTTTGTGTACAATCATGCATATTGCAGCGCATGTTCATATATGTTTAATCATTTTTTCTCTCTGTGTTTGTGTTTTGTAGAAAGAGCACTACTACAATCCCAACTGTTCCTTCTGGAATTATTCAGAGCGGAGCATGATGGGATACTGGTCCACTCAGGGCTGTAAACTGCTGGAAACCAACAAGAGCCACACCACTTGCTCCTGCAGTCACTTGACCAACTTCGCCATCCTCATGGCTCACCGGGGAAATGTGGTAAGTGGCCCTCTCCATGTGGTTTGCACGAGCTATTTTTCTGTCTCAGTTAGTTTCTCTTCCGTCTCGCTGATAGATTTGTGCACACACGGCAAGAACAAGAATGGCATTTCAGTGGAGATAATTAGATTATTGCTGGAGGAGAAGGTAAGGGGCGGGGGGAGGAGGGGTGGAGGGGAGAGGTGGAGAAAAGGAAGCGGGCTGTCACTTTAAAAGAGCGAGATTGTGGATCAGGATAGGAGGTGCCATACCATTATCAGAAGTAATTATATTTTACCTATGGTCCGTGTCTAATATTCCTCCATGCATATGTTCCTGAGAATCATGGGAAACAGTATAACCTCAGCTTTTACTTATGTTTCCACCCCTCTTGAAGTGGTGTAGGATCCATTTGGTCGCAAAATGCAATTACAATCCAATTACATGATAAATAGCATGTGTAGCAAGGACCTAGCCAGTAATAAATGTGGAGGATAAGTTTGTGGTTCATTTAATAACACGTCCCAACTCATGAACTCTGTCCCTGTCATCTGTCTTAACCTCAACCTTAACCACAGCTTGAAACCACAGGCCCGAGGCTGGGCTTAGCCTCACACCAATTCCCCACACATCACCTCAACTGCAACTTCTGCCCTCAATAAAATTACAAATATCACAGGAAGAATTGCCTCACTTTCAGGCCACCATGTCCTTGAGAGAGATTTTGTATGGTCAAGTCTGCTATTTTCACATTTGCCTGGTGCCCATCTTGAAACATGCTCAGTTTTAGATTTTCTGAAACACAGCGTGATTTGACCTCAAAAAGAGAGCCCACATGTGAACGTCACATCACACAGTCGCTGTTCTTTGTGGTAGTTTTTTAACTGATGTCACTTTCTGCAAAATGGGCCCCATAATGTGATCTAAGCATGTTCAGTTTAAGTGCCGAATGTCATCAGCTACCATCAGGTTAAAGGATAGATTCACTCATTTCTGTCTTGAGACAATATTCACAAGCCCATATGGGTATTGAATCATTTTTCACTTGCTGTGATTTCATTTCATTTAAAAAATCTAAAAATTTAAAAAATACCTAATGTTCTTTCAATGCGAATCTTTTCAGTGATGGAGGACAGAATTCACAGTCCTTGTTTTGTGCAAAAATGCATTCTAGAGTTTGTCTGACGCTAATATGAGGCATCAATAGTTTTGAGTTAGACAAATAAAGCAGATATATTCTAAAGTTAATGTATTTTTTGTAGAAAGTTCCTTCCTTTTGTTACTATTCCTCCACTGCTGCTCAACAGGGAAACACTGTCTGTGGAAACACAAAATCACTGTCTGTGGAAACACAAAGAAGGCTTTGTACTAAAAAGACCGAAGTTTGGAAGATATCTACTTGATTTGTCTAACTCAGACTGCTGAAGCCTTGTATTGGCTTCAAATACACATTGCTGCATAGAACAGGGACTGTGGATTTTGTCCCACAACTCTTCCATTAAAAGAGCAGTAGGAAGGGACGTTTTATGGCCAACATGAATGTGAATTTTGTTTTAAGACAGACTTGAAAGACTGTGAATCTATCCTTTAAGGACTGCACTGCTTAGAAATAGCAATTTTCATTATAACATTTTATATGCATCGAGGTTTACATCAGGTCAGTGTTTGCACCTTGGCAAATATAGCTACATGTGCGTAAATGCCACCAATCATGACAAAAAAGTGTGGAGTTGAAGGTCACACTGTCATGTCTGTTTCTCTGTAGGGGGAGGGGAGCGTCCACGAGCTTCTTCTTACCGTCATCACACGGATGGGTATCGCCGTGTCTCTCGTCTGCCTCGCCATCAGCCTCTTCACCTTCTGCTTCTTCAGAGGTCTGCAGAGTGACCGCAACACCATCCACAAAAACCTCTGCCTCAACCTCTTTATCGGCGAGCTCGTCTACCTCGTGGGCATCAACATGACGGAACCAAAGGTACCGTGGAAATTGTACCGCAGAGAGTTTTGACTTTCATGCTACTGATTAATTGGCTCATCTGCTGCAATTAACCTTTAAACACCTTTCTTAAATGTTCCTTTAAGTGGCTTTACAGTTAGCAAAAAAGAAAATCCACATTAGATTATAATACCACATATCTGATCTGTTTCTGCAGCACTTTTACAATGCTGAATTTTGAGTGAAATAATAAAACTCAGGATGATGTTTTATGTTTTTTTTAATGGCTGCACCATCTAGAAGAGATATTCTAGGCATGATTTTATACATAGTGTTCCTGCATCTATTCTATCTTTGGAAACTTTCACTAAAACTGAAAAAAAAGTTCCATCACTCTGAACAAAGCTTAGTTTCACAGTCTGCATTTTAACAGTAAGCCCATATTGTACATTTTTTGCAACAAGAATAACTAAGAATGGATGCCTTTGTATAATATTGGATGCTGTTTGCTGGCTAGTGATTTACTAGTGATTAACTTATTTATTGAATGCTTATGGGATCAGTACCATTTAGGGTAGGGAGATACACATTCTCAGATTCTCAGTGTTTTTACTCTTTAGTCCAACATTAACATTCTGACCAAATATGCATTTTCACAAATAATTAACTATAACCTCATTCATAAATTCTTCCGTTGGTGATGAAATAGATAAGTTGTGTTTGACCAGATATCCGTCTTTCTCTAAGCTAAGCTCTAAGCTTTAGAAATGTTTTAATAACATTTTGGGCCACTTAGGGCGCAACACACATTTGCATTTTTACACATCCAATTTTCATTTGGAGCAGTATTTCTGCCCACCTGATGAACATGAAGTCAATATTAACTCTTTTTTTAGCTCTGATTTTGTCTCTCCTGAGGGAAATATCTGTCTGGAATCTAAATGCTCCACTATAATCACCAGCTAGTAACTAGGTTTATCTGTGTTCAAGGCAGGCAGTGAATGTTTGGGTCTATCAAATGTTTTTTGCTGAAAATAGCTGCCTGCTGGAACTGGAAACCAAAACAATAATGTTGAAGGCCATAAAACCTAAAATATTGAGCTGAGAATTATTAAACTAAAATATTGATGCTAAAAAGCTCAAGTGACCCCTTTTGTATTACATGTAGTCATTTGATTTAATCAAAAATATTGATTCGAGCAGCTTTAAGCAGGGCCAGTACTTGATCCCATGGACGCTCTAATCTAGCAAAGCTGAGCTAATGTCACCGGCCATTTTTAAACTCTAAACTAAAGCATAAAACAGTTTGTAATAGTAGTAATAAAAAGTCATTCTGAGTAACTAGGAAATGACATATTTAACTAACCCCAAATTATCTCTCTAACGACCCTTTTACCTTTGTGTGTAATGTCTGCATGTGTCTTCTCTCAGCTGGTGTGCTCCATCATCGCCGGCGTTCTCCACTTCTGCTTCCTGGCTGCATTCGCCTGGATGTGTCTGGAGGGCGTGCAGCTGTACCTCATGCTGGTCGAGGTGTTTGAGAGCGAGTTCTCGCGCAGGAAGTACTACTACGTCTCTGGGTACCTCATCCCGGCTGTGGTGGTGGGCATCTCGGCAGCCATCGACTACAGAAGCTACGGCACACAGCGGGCGTGAGTGTGGCATCTCTGCAGAGAGTCTTCTTTTGTGGAATAAAAAAAATTAGGAGTATTAGTCCTCCCTTCTCCCGACCAAGACAGACCCACACAGCATGCATGTATGTGCTAATGATAGTAATATCACAAAGAGTAGTCCACCTCTGCCCCCTGGTAAATTTACACCCCGTCACTGCTAAAAGAAGAGGCTGTGAGCAAAGCCGCAACATTAATGAATGTGCTCGCTGGCTGCACTGGCCTGCTGGGTTTTTATTCTTTGCATGTGGATAATTGCCGGCCTTGTCAGTTAAAAGTTTATGCACTTCTCTGCTGGTCTTCATCCAAGCAGCAAGCTTTATGATTTGTAAGACTGCAAACCTCTAATTTATGGGATTTAAGTAAACTCCATTTTTATTGCTGTAGTCTTCACTTCATTTCTGTTTCCCGGTGATAAACACAGACGGAGGTGCAATTCATTCTTGAACCTTCTACAATACATTGTTTACTGTTCAGAGTCTTAGGTACACAGTCCGACATCCCACATTTGTAGACATTTGCAGACTGTGAAGTCATGAGTCCAATAACCACTAGCTTTCAGACTGCAGCTTCTCATGGCACGAGGCCAACACTCCCTCAAGGTCGGGTTTTCTTCTCTGTGGTCAGAGGAGTCTCTCTATTCTGTTGCTGTGGCCTATCATCCAGCCAGCCCTGCTGGGCCCTGATCGATGAGACACAACTTTGTTTTGGCAATGAGATGATTTAATGAACTGAGTATCACCTTTTGCACCTCGTAGATGCTGGCTGAGGGTGGATAACCATTTCATATGGAGCTTCATCGGACCTGTAACCGTCATAATTGTGGTAAGTTGTGATTTTGTGCACGTGTGATAACTTCTTAATATTTTTATTATTTTTTTATTTTTTCAAAGAAAAGCTTTGAAAACTGTTTATAGATTTTCCCTCTCTCTGTGCTGGCAGCCTCTTAGCTCTGCTTTCTCCGATCAATTTGCATGAAAGGAAAGTGGTCCCATTATAGCTGACATGAGGACATCAGTGTCCACTCAGCTATGAAATCCTCTGAAATCAGAACTGGTGAGCGGCAACAACTTAAAGCTGTTTGGTCTTTGCTGTACATCTAGAGAATACTCCCCTCCTGCAATCAGGAGGAGAAATCGTCTCAGGCATGAAGGTCATTTGCTCAGTGGGAAAACAAGGGTGATAGTGGCAGGGGGCGGTGGGGGCGAGTTTGGGGGGTGAACATGGAAGTAATGAATGGGTGGGCCAGACAACCATTACCACAGCTCATATCCCTGCTGAGGATCATGACACATCCCCAGCCAATCCCAGCACACGGACATCTCCATCTTCACCTTTTAATATTTCATGTGGTGCGCTGGGTGTTCACAATGCACACAGCCACACACACACACACACACACACACACATACACAACATGCACATACATGCATGCAGGAATGCATGCACACAGCCCTAAACAAACACACTGCATATCCATATAGGTGCATAGTTTAACACACAATGTAAATCTGTCTATAGGCTGTAAATACATGTAAAACCCGGAGAATTGCTGCGTCTGCAACACTGGGTTTTTTGCGCTGTATTTGGCAGAGAAGCCAGAAACCTGAATATTGTAGAGGACAGTCCCTTGGAGACCAGGCATGGGGTAGGGGGAGTCCATATGTAGTTTGCCTCAGCTTTCTGCTGAGTGCCTGCCTGCCTCCTCGCCTTGCTGTCCGTCTGTCTGTCTATGTGTCTCATCGGATCTGTGTCATCTCTTGCGGCTGCGTTAAATGCATCTCCAGCCACTCGACTCATGCGGACGTAAATTGGCCCCAGTGGCTGGGAGACAAAACTCAGTGTTACTCTAAGCTGTGATCTAAAAGCCTCTTTCTGTCTTCTTAGTCACCCCTTTTCTTCCGTCTTTCACTGCTGGTTTCCATCTGCTCTCCACTCGCACTCTTGTTGTTTCCGTTTAAAGACAGAAGAAAATGAGGTATTTGATAAACTGAGAACACTACATTGAGCTCATTCTGCTTTGTTTTCTTGCCAGCTCATGTTTTTGTCGTTTTATTTTCCTTCATGTACAGTAGATTGGTCACGCTTTCAAAACGCTTGCTCGGAGCAGATATGGGATAGAAGTTTTTAATAACATAAAAATCCGGATATATACTTGTTTTTCATTGAATATTTACAGAAGAGCATTTCAAAGGTTTAATATGGTATGGAGCCAAATTGAAGCACATCTCCTCTCTTTCCCTCGGTGGCCACGGGCCCTCCAGTGCTTACAGAGAGACATCCTGAGAGCATGGAAACCTTTCTGGATGTATGGCTTGAATCACTTAAATGTTTTTCCTGGCTTCAGTAAAAATTGTTTCTAAAATATGGCACTCAATTCGGTTCTTTCCTCTCTGTATGTTTCTGGTGCTTTGTTCAGCGGTACATCAGATCTGTTTGGACTTCAACAGATATACATTCTCATATTCAATGAGGATTTGCACTTTGGGATTGAATATAATGTCAAACAAAAGCGGGAAGAGAAACTTTCAGTGCAGCATATGTTGAAGGCCAGAACTGTGTGAAGTGGACCAAAGCCTTAACCTCTCACTGTTGTTTTTTTTCCTTTTCTTTTTTCTTTGGAAGTCAGTGTACTTTATGATCTTTACTGATGCATTACATTTTCTTATTCCTCTAGGTAAAGGTATGCTGGCGTTTGCACTCTCCATTTGGCCAGAACCATTATAGATTAAGCAATACTCTGAGTCAACATGAAATATTATTGTATGTGTTAGCAACCAGTAGTGGAATGTAACTAAGTACATTTACTCAAGTACAAATTTGACATACTTGTGGTACTTTAGTTGTTTTCTTTTTCTTTTTCATGCCCCTTTATACTAATACTCTCATTCAGAGGGAAATATTTTTATATACTTTTTACTCCACTAAGGTTTTTGCAAACAAAACATATGCAGAGCTTATAAAATATGATCCTTTGTTATTAATTAAACTACCAACCATGACATACAATAGAGCCAGAACAATTAGTCAATTAATGGATTAGTTGACTGACTTTAAATTTGTTAAATTAATTGACAATAATAGTTTGTCATTTTTCATGTTGAAATTCAAGGTATTTTATCGTTGTATCACAAATATAAATTTTAAAAAAATACTTTACTGCTGTTTTAGTAGTAACAGGAATTGGATGCCTGTCTAAGTGCAGTCTGTTAACCCTGATACGCGTCTGTTTTGACAGGTCAATGTCATCTTCCTGGTGGTGACGATGTTCAAGATGGTGAAGCACTCCACCTCCATGAAACCTGACTCGTCCAGGCTGGGGGGTATCAGGTGAGAGGGTTGTCACTCTGGGAGATTAGCAGGCCGCACTCTGGTTTCTGGCTCTGTGACTGTGTGTGTGTGAGTGTGTGTTGTGGAAAGAAAAATAATATGCACCATTACTGCTTTTACCTCCCTCCTGAATTTCAAAAGCTGCATTTGACCAACATATTTATTTGATTTTCCCTTCTCTTAAACCCGACCAGACCAATATTTTTCCCTTTCAGATTTTATTTTGGTCCGTATGGGTGCTGCCCTTTTTAGTTCATTTTATGATTTCTGTATTTGCACTATGCAGGGTTATATTGCCTTTTTTTATTTCTTCATAACTGCATTTTTGACCTTTCTGCTCCCGTGCTGGTGTACTTTAAAGGCTTTCTTGGAAGACAGACTAAACTACACGCCTCAAAGATTTAAAGATTGTAAAAACGGAAATCCCCCCACCACATCTTCCCACTTTCAGTGGGCTGCATTTGCTCGATAAAAAAACAGGTCCCTGTACATTTCTTTGCCTGAATGCTTGTTCAACAATATGTTTGAGGGCGGGCCAACACATGTTATGTGGGCGCTTGATTTTTAGGCAACCATTCTGATTTTGGTTCAAACCCAAAAAAATAGGCATTGGCATTCAGGTTTGTTTTTAGCACACAGAAAGCCGCATTAGTGGATGCTGGATTTCACACATTATCCTTCAAAGTCAAAACTCATTAACTGTCATTAATTAGGGTCTACCTAAAATCCGCTTTGTATTTAGTTTCTGTGTCAAATGTGGCAACTGGTAAAAAAAAAAGTGAAATAATTGGAATTGATGGCATTTTGTGTGATTATTACAATAAAAAAAAATCTTGGATAAAAAAAGAATCCAAAAGCTGGACAGCAAGAGCAGCCATTGTTCTCAACACTGCCTCTCATTTTTCCGTGAATCCTCTCTCAATGATGTGTCCCATTTCTTCTTCCCTTCTGCATGCTCACCGTATCTCCTCCCTGGGTGGCTCGCTTCTCTCTTGTGTATCAATAACGACCAGCCATCGTCATTGAAAGTGACTGTGAAGTTATCTTATTTCCTCTAGGCTTTCCTGGAAGCCGCCAAGGAAAAAACCTGCTGCGTTTGCAGTCTCTTTAGCCAACAACTCCAAGGAAGACCAAGGAAATATTTTTTGACTTAGTGTCAAATACCGAATGCACATTAATTCCAAAACTTTGGTATCAGCATTTATGCACAGTACCGCCACTAGTGCAACTTGTCCTAAAGGAAAATAGCAAATGGGGGGTATTGCTTTTTTTTGTTTTGTTTTTTAAACAAGTTTCTGTCCAGGAGCAAAGAAACGTCAAACCAAGCAAAGATGAAATCTGGTGCAGTGTTGCGGTTTTCACCAGTTAATGTCAGTCATCTTTCTCTTTCGCAGATCTTGGGTGTTGGGAGCATTTGCCCTACTTTGCCTGTTGGGGCTCACATGGTCCTTTGGCTTGTTCTTCCTCAATGAATCCTCCATTGTGATGGCTTACCTCTTTACCATCTTCAACACTCTGCAAGGGATGTTCATCTTCATCTTCCACTGCCTCCTCCAGAAAAAGGTAAGACTTCGTCCTATGGCGCTCATCCGGAATTATTAATTGTTTAATTGATTAGTTGAACAACAGATTTTTAATGAAGAATGAATCAACAGCAAGTTGTTTATGAAGCCAAAATGGCAAACATTTGCTTCTTCTAGCTTCTTAAATGTGAGATTTTTTAAATCTGTAAATACAATATTCTTTAGTGTTTTTGAAAGACAACACACTGGAAATTGTAGCATTTTTCACAATTTTCTCACATTTTATAGACTGAACAAATAATGAATTAATCAAAACAAAATAATTGATTGATTGATTATTCAACTTATTGTTTTAGTTAATTATACTGTATATTAATAAGGTCAATTGAAAATAATTTGGCAACTATTTTGATAATTGATTATTCATTAAAGCCACTTTTCAAACAAATATACCAAAAATCTGCTTATTTATAATAGTAAATTGAGGTTTGGGGGTTGATCTGACAAAAAAGACCTTCTGGAAAAAGTCACATTAGGCAAAATTGTTATGCACAAAACAATTACTTGAGGACATAATCTTTTACTGTTAATGAATTAGTAGTTGCAGCTTTACTTTCACACAGTTCAAACACAGCACTGTGTTTTCTTTCCAAATCTATACTAATCCTTATATGTGGGGATCTGTAAATATTTATATTGCAACGTTTCACCATATTTTATACAGTCTCATTTTGCAGCACCCATATCAGAGAGCTTCCTCTCTACAGTATTTCAACATGTTATCACAGTGTTTGCAGTGTCTTTACTGATGTGGCATTTAAGCTGCTGTCAGCTGGATGACATTTGATAAAGATTTGTATCCCTCATGGGTTGGTGAGGTGGTTAGCACTGAAGCCTCTTGACTGAACTGGACGGCCGGCTGGGCCTTTCTGTGTGAAGTTTGCACGTTCTCCTGGTGCCTGTGTGGGTTTCCTCCGGGTGCTCCAGTTTCCTCCCACAGTCTAAAGACATGCAGGTTAGGTTAATCGACGACTCTAAACTGCCTGTAGGTGTCAATGCAAGTGTGAATGGTGTGAATGCCACGTGATTGGCCTGTCTAGGGTGGGATTGGCCCCAGTCCCACTGTGACCCTGAAGGATAGTTACTGGAGGATGGATGGAGGGGTTTGTGTCCCTGTCCCTATGCTCAATCTCTCCTGATCTTTTGTTTTTCTGCAGGTCCGCAAAGAGTACAGCAAATGTTTCCGTCAGTCCCAGTGCTGTGGCGCGCTGCCGCCTGAGGGACCCCACAGTTCAGCCAAGACAGCCACATCTCGATCCACTGCCCGCTACTCATCTGCAACACAAGTACGTGTACACCACCGCAAATCAGATATATCAGAGTTTAACATGTAGACATGTGAAAAGGTTTGTATGTATGTGAATATGTAAGTGGATTTAGTTTTTATGTTTTATGTAGTATTTGTCTATGAATCCAAAGCCTGATATACTGTAGCTTATTCCTCTGTGCCATAGAGTACCCAACATATACACTATTTACTCCTGTTTGAGTAATGCTTCTTAAAACTTGAAAGTATATATTTGTGACCCTTTTTTTTGGTAATTCAAGATTTTTTTTACTTAGTTTTCCAATAAATAAACAACATAATGCAATTATGCAACAAAAGACAACATACATCATTGAAAAACAAGAAACAAAACAAATCTGGGCTGATACTGTAGTTTACCCTAAAAAGAGGAAGGAATCATTTTATTACATTACGTAATGTTTATAAACATTAAATGAAAATAAAATTATTATTATTATTATTATTATTATTAGACCATATCTGTCAGCAATTTTGTTATGGCACTCCAGTGACGTTTTCTGGAAACTTCACATGCCTTTGAATGCTTGTTTTATCCACCTTGCTCTCTAACTCTCTAACTCTAACAAACATGTGCAATAAAAAGTTGGAGCCCACTGTGGCATCTTACTTGCCCCGGGCAATCCAGCAAACCTTGAGTGGTTGAGTTCTGCAGTATGTCCTCAGGGACAAATGGCCTTGTGGCTGAGAGGCGCAGAGAGGAAATCTTAAGAATGTTACACATTGTTGTTTTTTGGTCTTTTCATAGGATTTGTTGACAATAAGAATAATATATCTTATATGACCAGCCTTATCCTTTAGTAAAGATTGAGTTCAGTGAAGTTTATTTCTAACCTTCCTCACTCAACAATATTATTATTGTTAATCTGATTCTTTCAACTTCATACACAGTTTTACTATTTAAGTAGAAAGTACTTGATTTGACTTTGTGATGTTGGGCTTTGTTATCAAGCTGTTAGACTGCCAAGGCTTTTCTGCCGATATCCGATATTCCAATATTGTCCAACTCTCAATTTCCGATACCGATATCACCCGATACCGATATATGCAGGCTTTTTGCACCAAAACTGTTAGATAACAACATAACATATCTCCTATTGTGGAATTAACACAATATGCCCAATTTTATTGTGATGCCCCCCTGGATGCATACATAAATGCAACATGGCTTTTCAAATGTAAACACTGTGCAAAATAAGAGAACAACTTCAACTTTCATTGTATTAATACTGAAAAGAGCACTAAAGCTAATCGCTAGCTTTGGTTAATGTGTTTGTGTTAATATTAAAATCATTCAGCTTTAAATTGTTTGCTTGTTAGCCACGGTTAGCAACCAACCAGTCTAGCGTGTAGTTGTTGTTATACGTCATCTAGTGCGCGCCGGTAAACGTCCCATGCTGCGTTCATGCAGGCTCAGAAATGCTGAAGCCTACAGAACAAACATCGGTATAAAAACCCGATACCGATAATTCCCGATATTACATTTTTTAGTAAATATCGGCCGATAATATCGGAGGTCCGATATTATCGGACGACCCTAGTTATACATCAAGGAATGGGAATGAAATGTTTTTTTACATCAGAACATGTTACAGTACAGTGTAAACTTTTCTTTTTAAGTGTTCTTTTATATCGTTATCAGGGTAGGCGTAAAGAAAAGACATTGAGAGAATTATCCAGAGAATCTGTAGGTTTGAATCACAAACCCACGCAGCCACTCAATCCTCAGGGCCAGAAGCCTTGAATAACAGCGGCACCATGTTGAGTCCTGATCAATGGTTGCTTTTCTCTGTACCCAGAGCCGCATCAGGCGGATGTGGAACGACACTGTGAGGAAGCAGTCGGAGTCCTCCTTCATCTCGGGAGACATAAACAGCACCTCCACACTCAACCAAGGTGAGAAACCGTTTCTTCCATCGCCACCAGATGAGACACATGCGCCATTCTCTTTGTGAGGAAGCTCTGAATTCTCTATAAACACTTCAATTAATGCAGCTTACACGGCTCTGTGGCGGCTCTGAAAAGCGGGAGATAAGACCCGATTTAATGTTGCATTTCTCTTAGTGTTGAGCAATCAAAAAAAAAAAAAAACAGCGTTAAATGCTGCCTGTGAAAGTTACCTGCATTTTACCTGCATTTTTCTACTTCACTGGGATTATATGAAAGATGTTAAAACAGAGATAGAAAATAGGTGTGATATTTTGAGTGGCTTAAAATGTTACTGGTGAGGACTTGGGTTCAAAATCCTAGCGACCCTGACTGGAGAGGCTGGCTGTGCAGCAGCCTCCTAACTCATCCTCACCCTGGAGTGATTGTCAGGATGAAGGTAGGGGTGGGCGGGGGGGAGACGAGCAAAGTCAGGCTGAGGTCAGAGCAGATTTTGGGAGTGATCCCAGCATCGTGAAGCTCAGGCTGCCGACTGTGCCAGCGAAGATTTGGCTGTAGTTATGATTTTTTTTTTTTTTTTTTTTTTTTTAAAACACACATGCCAGCACAGAGTTTCTCAGTGATCCGTCCAAATGACTGAGGGTAGTTATTACATTCTTCAGGATTTACACAAGCATGCTGACGATGATGGGGATACTGTATTATTCATGGCAGGCCACTTAGACATGTTTTGTCTAGTGTCTCGACTGGAAGAGTTTGTTTAGATGAATTTGTTTTACATAAACACTGGAGTTGATTGTGTTGCTAGTCTTTGGTCAACACTTGTCGTGATAATGTTGTTTGTCAGTTACATCGGCCGACTGTTTGGATAATGTCTTGCTTTGACCGTCGTTTCAATGGCCGCTTGGTCCTTAATAGAAGGCAGATGGATTGCAGGTCATAAATCTTTTGTGGTGTCAGATTTTGGACAGTGAATGTCAGTGTTTGTTTATGTCGACAGCTGCGCAGCGCACCACCACAGACCATAAAGTACAGTACCTCAAGCTCTTTTTCCTCAACTGTTTTTCTTCCCTCCTGATTTTTCTCTATCTCTCTCTTCTCTCTCTTCCTGTTATTTCAGGGATGACTGGAAACTACCTCCTAACTAACCCTCTCCTCCGAACCCACGACACTAACCCTTATAACAACCTGCTGGCAGAAACTGTGGTGTGCAACACCCCCTCTCCACCGGCCTTTCACTCCCCAGGTGCACATCCGCCCTCCACCTTTATTCTTGCATAGATCTGTGTTTGTTTTAATGCAAAAGTTTGACATGTTGGAAAATACACTTATGGGGGAGGGTAAGATGAGACGATAGAAACCACACTCATGTCTGTCCATCAAGTATAAAGCTACAGCCAGTTAGCATAGCTAGCATGTAGGTGCATGTAGGCGGCTTTTGTTGCCATTTTACAGAGCCAGGCTAGCCGTTTTCCCCTTTTTCCAGTCTTTATGCCAAACTAAGCTAACGGGCAGCTGGCTGTAGCTTCATATTCAACATATCAATCCTCTCATATAACTCTCTCCTTTAAGTGTGTTAGATTTATATACAGCTCTGACACAGTATGCATTGAGAATGTTGAGAATAATTACTCTAGATTTACCATTTGTTCTTCTTCATTCACACCTTCTCTGTATTTCCAGTAGCTCTTATCTACGCATGTTTCTCCTTTGTAAACACAGAAGGAGATAAACTCAGAGACGTCAATGCTATCTACTGAGCAGTCAGAAGGGAATTCCTCTGTGTTGAAAATGAGCTTCACGCGTTGGTCCGGATTGTTTACGCTGTTGACCTGCAATCATAGATGTTGAAACCTTTACATTTTCCTCAGTTAACGTGAAATCAGACTGACTCAAAACATGTCAGTGTTTATGGTGACCTAGTTCCTCACTGGCAGAGCAAAAGAAACCCAATCAAAGAAACAGAAGCACATGACGCAATGCGGGCAGAGTCATAGCCCTCAGATATTCACAGGCATTTGATGATTAAAGAGAATATACAAAAACAGCAGTATGGTGAAAGTGTGTAAGGAGAGGATATGCAGTAACATATAGCTTTAACCTGCTGCAGTTATCATGGTCTTGTTTTGTGCTGCAAGCTCGCTACAGCACAGTGAGAGCACTTTACACTCAGAGATAATGAAGCAGGGTTGGGACCAAACAATGTCTGCACAGAAAATCAAAGGCATTTTGTGATTTTTTTTGTGTGTGTGTGTCTGTGTAAGTGAGTGTGTGTGTGTGTGTGTGTGTGTGTGTGTGTGTGTGTGTGTGTGTGTGTGTGTGTGTGTGTGTGTGTGTGTGTGTGTGTGTGTGTGTGTGTGAGCTCAGCAGCAGCCGAGCAGCTCAGGCACAGAAGTCAGTGTGTATGCAGACAGCTTGTGCTTTATTGCCCTAAAATGTTTACCTGCCTAATCATTGTAGAATAATTGCATGTTAACATTGGAGCACCAGAGACTGATAACTGAGATATTTAATTAGCAGGTAAATCTGAATGTCAACATAACGTTTCCTTTACCTGTAGAAACACTCCCTCTCCCCCCTGATGCGAACTGCTGCACTTAGCCGTGTTTAAACACAGGAGCGACAGCAGATCAGGAAGCAGTGACAAAAAGATTGAAGATTTAACATATGGAAAATAGTTTGAGGATAGCAGGCAACAGCATGACACACAAATGTCAAAACCTGGTGTGAAGATCACCAACCAAGTATGAAATACGCGCCGAGAGACTGTCAAGTTTAACACGAGCTTTTTCAAAATTCCGTCTGCTATAGTCATTACATTTAGCTCCCGCAAAAAGGATGAGCGTGTCTTCTATTATAAGTGTATTAATACTAAGTAATACTCTGCAGATGTTCATCCGATGCAGTAAAATCGGTAAGGAGAACATCTTGGATGAGTCTCTGCTGGAACGGTTCCCAGAGTGCAGCTGTCGCCGTGTCCAGTTGAATTCTGTTCACATCATTTCCCTTCACTCCCGGTAGACAATACCTGTCTGCAATAAAATCATCGCCTGTGCATAAACAAATGCAAATTTGGAAGTTGGCAAGTTGGGTCTATTCAGAGAAGTGTCTAATAATCTCTCCCCCCCCGCTCCCATTTCTGCCCTTTTGCTCTCTGTGCTCTTTTTTAGAAACGTCTTTGATGTTTGTAGAGCTTTCTTTTTCTCAGTTGCTATCATCCATTTTCTGACACGTTCGTTTGAAACCGAAGACTACACTTTCCTCTTTTTTGGTGTGTGCAGACACCCCACCCCCCACCCCACCCTAGAAAATGTCAGGCTTTAACTTACAGGCTCTCAGTGTACCCAGTAAATGAAATCCTCATATCCAATCAAACTACCCCCCTCCTTCACTTTCATCCTGCTAGTTGAGCTTAGTCATAGGGCCGCACAAAATTAGAGTTCTTCGCTGTTTGTGTGTGTGTGTGTGTGTGTGTGTGTGTGTGTGTGTGTGTGTGTTTTGCTCACATAAAAGTTATAGATGTACACTTCTAAAATGGAAAAAATAATATGCGTCACTCAAGAAACAATTTCATCAGGAAATGTTATTTTACTGGAGACTTTTAAAAAGAAGATTGTGCTTGCTGCTGAACCCTTTCACCTGCTGAGTCCAGGATTCAGTTGTCCTTGGTTTGTCCTTTAGCTCTCTCAAACTGTTAAACACATAATTTTGCTGTCATTCTCCATCCACCTACAACAATTTGGGCAAAGCATCACATGGGCTAAATTACAGTTAATTGCAAGGACACAATCCGAGTTGGATTGACTGAATCCAGGCTGGATGTTACAAGCTTCCACTTTTGTCTTATTTCAGTGATTTTGTTGTTTCTGCTGCAATTGAAAAAAAGCATCTGTTTTACTTTTTTTGCACATCAGCTGTTCTTAGGCCAGATAGCCTGAGCAGACACACTTGATGTGAGTGGTGGCAAAGTGAGTCATTGCACCGTGCCTGTCTGTCGTGGTGTGTGGGGGTTGTTGCTGTGCTTGTGGGGCCCCAGTGAAGAGAGGTGGCTGGCCATCTGTGTTCGACATTACTCTTTTGTCTTGCCTTCTTTTAAGAGGTGGAATGTTTTATTCATTGTTAATGTCACAACACTTCCTCATCAGCTTGTATTTATTTCTTTATTTAACGCTCATCCTCTCCCATTGCTTTGGTATGCTGCTGTGTTGTAACCTGGTCATCAGCTACTGTATAGCGTGTTGCCGTACTATATTTTTTAAGTTTTTAAATCATCTTTTGTTCTCATTTCTCCAATATTGTTCAGGATAATCTCTTATATTGGCTATAATGATATTCAGTCATGATGAGGATGGACATGGTGGGCAGCTAATTGGGTTCTCCTTTGAATTTTAAAACATTTTGTATTTGCATAAAATTAAAATTAACCCAGAGATCAAAGAGCACAAGAGTGCAGTGTCCTGAGCAGTATCAAGTTGTATGTGGATGGTGTAGTGGAGACTGTTGCTTTTGTTCTATCAAAAGGCAAAAAATTATACCTCATGCACTCCTTCTGCCTTTCCTTGCAGGACAGCACTCTCTGAGCAACAGCAGGGACATCAGTGCCATGGACACCCTTCCCCTCAATGGCAATTTCAACAACAGCTACTCCCTGCGAGACGACGACTATGAGGCCGTGGGCGTTAGAGCCCCGGGTGAGCTGGGGGGCCTCAACTTGGACGATGCTGCCTTTGAGAAGATGATCATATCTGAGATTGTCCACAACAACCTGAGGCCCCGTGGGGCCCCCAAAGGTCGCGACGCCCAAAGGGAGCGGGACAGAGCTCTGCCTCCCCAGACCAGAGTGACAGTGGACCAAGGCGGGGGTGGGAGTGGCAGTGAGGATGACGCCATCGTGGCCGATCACGCCGAGGCTTCATCCCCCCAGAGAGGAAGTGGAAGAGGAGGCCACGCCACCCTGGAGCTGCTCCTGCACCCCCACCACAAGGAGGCGCTGGAGGCCCCCCTCCTGCCCCAGAGGACTCACTCCCTGCTCTACAGCGCCCAGAAGGCCCCCAGGCGCCTGGAGGGGCAGGGTGGCCATGGCTCTGAGACTGTTACTGCAGTGGAGGACATGGGCTCCCATTCACCCAACAATAATAGAGACTCCCTTTACACCAGCATGCCAAACCTGAGAGACTCTCCTTCGCCCTCAGCTTCGCCATACCCCCCGGAGGAGGAGGAGGAGCTCTCTCCCTCACCTGGAAGCGAAGGCGAGGACGCGTATCATAAAAGCATGCCCGAGCTCGGCGATGCACCGCAGCCCATGTCCTACTACCACATAAACCGAGGCACCAGTGACGGGTGCATCATCCCCCCCAACAATGAAGACTGCGCGCAGGAGGGAGAGGCGCCCAGCGACGGACAAATGCAGCTCATTACCAGCCTCTGAGTGGGCCGTCTTTGTTTGCACAGGTTTTAACAGATGGGTCCTTTCAGTTGATGTCATGAGAGCCGGCAAGTCTGGCTCCGCACTCCACATGCCCTTCCTGTTAGGACAGGAAGTGAAATGTTGGGTGGGAAAAGGAATGAAGAAATGACTTTTGCACACAGATCTCATTAACACACAAAACACGTCCATCCGAGGCCAGACAAATGTGGACTGTGAAAGCTCTGCTGTTTGACTAAAGAGGTGCAGAAAATAACACACAGGCCGCTGTGTCAGAGATAAGTCTGGCATTTCTGTTGTTCTGTACTGTCAAAGAATAAGGGATGAAAAAAAAATACTCCAAGCAAAGAACTATGAAACTCCTATCATATTCCTGGGGGACTTTGCAGAACCAGGGTCTTTTTAGTCATGAAGTACAGAACTAGAACTAGTGTGGCTCCACTACACAGTCAAGACTGTAAAGTTAAGAAACCACTAATTCAGACTCAGGCCTTATATTTTCTCTATTGCACATTTAACTGTTGTAAAAGTAACAGCTAAAGAAAATATATTTTGCTGTACCACTAGTGTATAAAGTCAAAAAAAAGAAAGAAAAAAAAAAGAGAAACGGCAACCATTCAGTAGTTATGCCCTTTCAATGTTAATAAGATTCTTCAGACAAGGTTAATTAAAATGGTGGAAATGTGCTTTTTTCCTCTCACACTTGACTCGTTGTAGTATGTTTGAATATGAAAAAAATAAGTTTTGAGAGATATCAGTCCATATGAAATCATGCTCACGTCTCTGCTTGTGAAGTGCTTTTGCTTTCATGAATGATGAGTTTTTGCCAGTAGTATATTTGTTAACACCAGGCCATGCACAGATTTGGAGTGAATTGGAAACTTGTGTAATTTATTTTACTTGAAAGAAATTGTCAGGTTTAAAGACTTATGTTCGTGTCAATGCGATAGTGCAGTTTTTGCGGACATGTTTCATCCTTTGACACTAATTAATTTATTAACTGAACTATTCAGAAAAAAAGTGAAAAAAAGATCATGGTTGGAAAGTGTGAAAAGTTGTTGCAGCACTGATTAGGTTCATTTTCTTTCTTTTGTAAGAGCCCATCATCAGCTGATATTTAATTCAACTCCTGTTTGATATCAAATAAATGTGAAATTTTTTCTTGTTCGCAGATGTCTGGCTGCTTATTCATGTTTTGTATAATAGATCTGCTATGATCCAAACATGTTGAAAAAAAGGATAATGCTGGGTACATTCAAACTGTTGTCAAAACTAATGAAAAGACTCAAACTGAGAATGTGTTAGTCCACCCTGACTGTACAAGCCACCCGTTCCTAATGAAGACGTTTATCTTTAATAACCAGTGTCAAATATATACTCTTTTTTTTTTTGTTAAGCTAAATAATTTCCTTAAACAGCTGGGCACTGTAGTTTTTAGCAAACTTCACTCAAACAGGAATACATTGTATCTTTTGAGGGGACACATTTTGTGTATTAGTGGATTGATGGCAGCAAGACAGTGTGTGGGATCTCAAAATAAAACAACAGTGCCCATGTTCATCCTAATGAAGTCACCCAGTGTGACAGTGTGATGTGGCAGACTGTCAGCATGACAGAGGACACTAAAATTGTGTTTCTTTATGTAATTTTGCACTGAGATTTACATACAGTAACCGAATTATAAAGTCAAATATTCTCTACAGATACAAACACAAGTTTCAACAGACTGTTCACATTTTTCTCACTGTCTCAGCGCAGGAAATTCATGTAAATAAGGAACTATTCAGAAATGCAAATCCATTCCAACATGTTTTTAGGTTTTCAAGTATTCCTGTCTCCTGTAAATTTTTGCATAGTAGAGACCTTCTTTATATGTCTCTGCCATGATGTTCTCACAGCAACATGTTGTCTCTCTCCTCCGTCTGCGTCCGCTAACCAATCCAACCCACACAGTGTACTTTTACATCTTCTCTTCTATACAGCGGGGGCAAAAGTACACACGTTCTTCACTCAAGTACAAGTAAAGATAGTAAAGAAGACTCTGGTAAAAGCAGAAGTACTGATTCAACTTCTTTACTCAAGTAAAAGTGAGAAAGTACAGGCTCTGAAATGTGCTCCAAGTACAAAATACTCTTGGTTTATACCAAGACTACCTTTATACCAAGGTTTATACCAATAACTTGATTTCTCTGGTTATTATTTGTACTGGCTGTTTCTGTGCAAACCTAAAAAACTTCAAATGGGATTGATTACTTTACATCATTTTTTTCATGTTACATCTGCTATGCATGATACACGCTGGTCTTGAGGTTGGGAAAGCGTGCAATGATGCAAATATATATATATATATAAATTCTAGCCTGTGAAGAAAAAGAAAGTGCAGATATTTCTGTAGAAATGTAGGAAGTAAAAATAAGTATAGTAAAGATACCTGAAAATACTGCTTCCCACCAATGCTTCCATATGAGAGTTGTCCCTCTCTGATGTCTGTCTGCTCCATGTGTGTTGGTACATACAGTGTGTAAAACTTCACTCCCTGTGGTGTTAATGTGTTTTTAGAAATAACAGCTTAGGAGTCGCACCTGTAAACTAAATCTGACAGCGTGTGAAAAACTGTGCTAAAAGTTGTGACAGTTGGCTCCAATATTTTGCATGTCGAGTGTGTTGATGATTTGGACCGCAAATCCTAACGCAGTGCATTAGAACAATTACATTTGACTTCTGCATGGGAGCAACAACCAACAGCCAAATCTGAGAAAATGAACTATAGATTTGTGTTTTTCAGCATCATGATCGTCTTTTAACATTTGTGCCAAAGCAGCTGAGAAAAACTGAAAATAGTTTTTGAACAACAATAGAGCTCTATGGCACAGAGGAATAAGCTATATCAGGATTTGGCTCCACAATACTTGTTAGTAGGATCACTTCATGACTTGTTTTGTCATTTTGTTCTTTTCGTTGGATTTGCCAACAGTGACTAGAATATAGAATATCGCGTGCCTTGTCCTTTAACTACTACTTTAGCTACTGTAAGAATACACCATGACACTAATTATGCAAGTTTAACAAGATGTACCATATTAAATTTTTGATCAGTGTCTAAATCATTCCATGTGCTGAATTGCAGCACGTATTCCAAAGAAGAGACACATCATAGATTTAGCAGATTTAGTGTCTTTCATCCGTGGCTCCATCTGACCACACACACACACACTCCCGGCAGATGTACAGTACATTCAGTTGCTGTAGGATATGGGTGGTTCACTTTATTAGTTGGAGTTGGGTGCCAGTTTGCTGTCAAGAGACTGACACGGAGGCCAAGGCAAAGCTCTGAGTCCACTGTGGCTGTCTGCCTTGTTGTTTGAACATCAGCCTCTCAGTTTACACAGAGCTGTCCAAAAGCTCCAGAGAGGCACCAAAACTGGTCTGTAAATTATATGGAAACCTGGCTTCTGTTCAGTTATAAATTCAAATTAAACGCAAAGTTGATGACCCTGCTCACATTTCAGGAGGACGGGGCCTGCATTGTCTGCGAAAGTGTCCTTATTATAAACACTGTAGGATCGGCATGGCAGCTCCCAAACATGAGACTAACCCTTCAGGGCGTCAGTGATGTCACTTCGAGGAGGAGAAGTTTCCCCGTCTGCATTTTCATAACAGACTAAATTGTGATGAATGAATGTACTGAGATCCCTTTGCCAAGCATAAGGATCGGTTTTGCATGATGCATATATATTGGTTCATTATCACTAAGTCACCTGTGCTCTGTATTAGCTCTCTCACCCTATTATCTTAAAGAACATTGGATTCTGAAATTGAACAATATATAGATGATCACGTCCTTTCCCCAATAAGAGTGTGTGTGTGTGTGTGGGGGGGGGGTTCTTGATACAAAGATCAGCATATCCCGGGCTCTCCTTATCCTGCTGTGATGATTTCCGGCCATTCATCCTCTTCAAAGATACTGCCTCCACCTTTGACTTTTCATTGAGTCGCTGACATTACCATCTGTGATTATCTGATTATATTATGATGCAGCATATTAGCCATGCGGTGTTTGCGTTGCAAATGAAAAAGTTGTCAAAGTTTGTTGGAGATGAAAGTGCTTCATTTATCGACTCATCTTTTATCTGTGCACAGTCAAAGCCCAGCTTCCATGGGGCAGTGGCAAATGAAGGCGCAATAAGGCTCAGTCCGAGAAGACATTACCGTGTTTTCATTTGAATCTGTTTGATGTTCCAGCCTCTGGTGATTTGGACATTATTTCATGTCCATCATCAAAAAGACATCAAACAAGATGCTGAATTCAAAATCAGATCACAGAGCCTGAGCAGAAATATGGTGTGTGTGTGTGTGTCTGTGTCTGTGTGTATTACTGACTGCTTGTAGCCTATATATACTCATACGTGTGTGTATAGAGGTATATTTTTCCTCATGAATTCTCTTAAACATTTCTCGAAACTGGAATGAATATTTACAGAATCAGCTTTCTGACCCGCTCCAGCAAGGTCTTGCTTAAAAGCAAACATAATAATAACATTATTATCATTAAAATGAAAAAGGCGTTCTTGCGGACAATGTTTATAGTCTTGGATAGCAATCTTTTTCTTTAGCTTGTGCAGGAACTATGCATAATTACATTAGCCACAATGCAGAAGGAGTATTATATTTCCTCAGGGCCTCTGTAAATGTACAGCTTACATTCCTCTACATTTCACTCTGCTGCAGGAAGATAAAGAACATCTGAATCACTCCTGCTCTGCTGCCACCGTCCCTCCGAACAACAACTGCACCGCCTTGGCTGACTCGGCTTCTCTGTGTGCATTTAAAGCTCTAGCGAAGAAGGAGAATTTCTGCCTGCAAAAACAAGCCGAAATCAGCTTCCCTCACATTTTTATAGCTGCAACACATAATGCATATAGCACCTATAGACTGTGTTATGGGGTGAATGTAAATTTGTGATTATGTGGGTTGAGTAAAAGCTGCCCATACTGATATGACAACAAAATTGTTGCCCTGAAAATCCTGCTGTGCTGTTAAAATGAGCTTTAGTTGTGAATCATCCCGATGCAATCATTGCAATTTAACTGTCCTGCATTTTATAATATTTTATTTTTATTTCAGCCTTATGGCATTTGTAGTCTGTTGTTTTAATGCTTGTTAGGATATCACCACAACTAGCCCCCTCCAACATAGGGCTGTTTAAATAGAAATATGAGCTTCCTCCTCGACTTCCACAAAGAAGCCTATTATGAGAGATTAAGACTTTAGGCTTAAAATATGCTCAAGAGTCCTCTTTGAGTCCGGCTGAGAAAGTCTTGATATGATTTCTTGCCTTGTGTGTGTATCTGTGTGTGTGAGGAAATGAAAGAGACAAAAAAGAGAGTGTTTCAGATAGAGAGAGTCAAAGAGGCCGAGGAGGAGAAAGTGAGAAGAAGAGAAAAGGGGAGAGATTGTGAGCCAGACGGAAACCAGCAGCAGTCTAAGATGTCAGAAACAATCCGAGTCTGAGCCCTGCAGTTGTAAAACTGTCATACTTCGTAGGAAACACCAGCAGTGACCTCAGAATTGGGCTAAGGTAGCCTGTCACGCCCATTATACAGTAAACACTCAACAGAGGCCCGTGTTTTTGTTGGGTTGTCGCTGTTAAAATAATAGCAATGCATTCCCCCGAGACACAAACATAGCATATGAGTACTATTAGTCAAAAGCTCAATAGAGGAATTTTCCCATATTTTAGCAATTGGTCCCACAGTTTTTGGCCATTTGAGACTAAACGTAATGATTGTAATTTAAAAGAAGCCGGATAGGAAGAAAAAAAAGAGTGAATTTTTGAATAAATTCCAGTCAATCATATCTGACTTCAAACATGTGAAAAACACACTTGAACATTAAATAAAAAAATATTTTTTACTGTATGTCCCACTTCAAAGTGCCTTTTGATATGCCAATTCAGAGAGATAGTATTGTCAAAAACAGCTATAGACAGAAAAATCTTTGAAGAGATTTATTTTTTCCTCATTGAAACTTATAGAATATAAATGTTTCAAGAAAAAGCCTTGTTCTTGTTTTATTCAGTGGTGTTTCAGAGTGATAATTACGGGTCATTCTCACAGATGTTTTCCATATTATTTCTGAAACTGTATAGCCATTATTTACATGAAAAC